TTTTTTTTTTTTTTTTTTTTTTTTTTTTTTTCTCTCTGCAACAGATACTGTACCCGCTGTGCCAATTCGTGTTTATGTATTTTCATGTGTTTCCGACAATTCACGTAAGTTTTAAAAGTCTTGTGACAATAAGGACACATGAACGGTCTTTTATTACTGTGAGTAACCAAGTGTCTTTTCATGCTGCTCTGCGTAGAGAATTTCGCATTACAAACAGAACAACCGTGTGGTCTCGAATCCTCGTGAGTATGCAAATGCGATTTTAGAACGCTATTCGACGTGAATCTCCTGAAACGATTTAAAAAACGATATACGTTCGTAAAAAGGGTTAGTTACTCGTACGCAAAGAGATAGAAGAAACAAAGTACAATAGAAAGTTTTATTAAAAATTGTTAAAGAGGAAAGTTGTTCATTTGAAAAGGGAGAAAGAAGAAAAGATAAGAAGTAATAACCGCGCATAATACCTATCGCATTTTGTGCATTTGTATGGACGCTCTCCGGTATGACAACGATGATGTTGCTTCAAATGGCTGATCTTTCTAAATGCCGCCTGACAAATCCAACACTTATGGGGCCTGGCCTGATCAGCAGTTGCGTCACAAGCATGTTTCTTCTTTCCCGAAGGAGCCACGGAAATTTTATTTCCCGTGTCGCTAATTACTAACGGTTCTTGCAAGATCACCTGAGGTACTAGACTTTCTGCTTCCGGTGATAATTTTGATTTGTCCTTTGTTTGGGTTTTCGACTGATTACCAGAATAAATATCAGTTTCGATCGTAACGTGCGTGTCGGAATCCTTCTCGTTGTCAATGGTTTTATCGAAACAATTGTCAGACTTTGCATGCAATCTAGCATAAAAGGCACTTAATTGCAAGTTGTCGATTTTCTTGTAAGAAAAAAACTATAACCAACACTCACCTGGTATGCGCAATTAAACTACTATGACAGACGAACGTTTTGTCGCAAGAATCGCAAGCGTAACGTTTCACACTCGAATGCGTGCGTTCGTGTGCTATCATTGTAGATTTCAAAGCGAACGAACGATGACAGTAGGTACACTAAAAATACAGGTAAGTGTGTAAATGTTACACGAAGAAAAAAAATCTCTTCGTCGCAGGTATAAGTTGCTTTAAACGCAAAAAATATTTTAATATTTTTCACATGCATACCTTGAAAGGCTTTTCTTGAGTATGTACTCGTAAATGACGTATCAAATCTGACGGTTTCTTAAACTCTTTGTGACAAAATGTACACGCGTACCATTTCACGTTTCCTACGCATCGTTGCTTTATCGTCAAATACTTTCTAAAGAAGTAGCAAGAAGAGAAAGAAAATTTACGTCAACTATTTGCAATCAATAATCTTGCTTATAGATTATACATGTAAAACGGATCACCTCGTATCACCGTCAGGCGCTCGATCCAACAACGTTACAAAATTAATCCGAGCTCCAAACTTTTTTGCTTCAGGAATACCTGCGAGAAACAAGCTTCGTGAACGGCATACTTACTAACGTAATACTAAAATATTACAATCACTTTGTCGAGTGTGTAACGCGTACCTTCAGAAGCAGAAGTTTTGTTTTTACTAGGAAGACCACTGTTTTTCAACGCTTGTTGCAAAATATCCTTTCTCGCTGTATTTTCCGATAACAGACGCGTCTCGAAATTTGACGAATCCGTAGGTTGATGAACGTTGGATTCTAAAGATGCCAGTTGCGTTATAACGTTATTCACCGTTGCACGTATATCGGACTCCACGTTATCACTCGAATGAGCATTATTCTTAACGGAGTTCTCCTAAAAATATCATTGCATGTTCATCTAACGATTCAAAAGTATTTTAGTATTCGTAAAAAGTAAACTGATGTGCTGGGCAATTTATGGTTTACCTCGTTTACATCTGTATGCATGCGTTTCACGTGACCATTCAAACTGCCGAGTTTTTTAAACACGCATGAACAATAATTACATCCGTATATAGGTTCTCCATCTGGGACATTGTGAACCCTCATTATATGAGCATTTAAATTACCTAAAAGTATACATGTTTGCACATAAATGGCTGTGAAACTGAGTGGAAGAATACAATAAATTTCTTCATAAACATTTAGTGTAAAAAAATCACCTTTCTGACTAAACTTGGCATTACAAAATTCACAAGCATGCGGTCGAATACCATTGTGTTGCCACGTATGGATCTGTAGCGAACTCTTTTGCGTGAAAGCACGACCGCATATCGTACACTGTGAATTTAAACAAAAATTAAATCACTCATCATTCGAGGAATACAACTATACAAAGTGAAAATTAATTTACCTTGAAAGGTTTTTCACCAGTATGCACTCTAATATGCCGCATCAATTGACTTGGCTTCTGAAAAGACTTCAAACATATGGTACATTTATACATTGTTTTGTGTTTTGTGCCTCTTTTCGTTTGCTTCACCACTTTGGTCTGCAACTACATGTAAGCAAATTATAGAAAGCTCACCGGAAATCGTCGCTTGCAATACATTTAACGCTTGTGATATCTTACTCTATAATGTTCACGAATATGAAGTCTGTACAAGGCTGGTTGACTAAACTGTTTATTACATAATTTACACTTTCGTACTTCTTCAATCGCCCATTTTTCTCCATGAAGCTTCAAATGTGCATCCAATTGAGTCTATAACGTTTAAGTTGAGATCAAGTTAATAATTTTAAATTTACCGTGAATTTGACAATTAACAACTGCTTTCATTTAAACTGTTTTGTCTTTATCGAATTAAGAAAAAATCATACTGCAAATAAATCAATTGATAATAATAATAATGACTGACTTTCGTGGAGAAAGCATCTTCGCATTCTGTACAGAATAAATTTTCTTCTTTCTCATGCAACAACATGTGAGACTTTAAACTGGCCATTCTTGCAAATTTTTTACCGCATTCTGGACATTTCGGTTCACCCGTATTATGAGTTGCCATGTGAAGCGTAAAATTTGTCTGCAACGGTAATATAAAATGACAAACAATGTCCCTATCAAGTTACACATTCCGTTGCATAATTTGTTGACACTGAATGTGTCGAATAATGCATGTTTCAAGAATAAAACTGTTACTACCGGCACGTTGAACGACGCGGAACATTTTGGACATCGATGTGGTTTTTCCTCTGCATGATTTTCCATATGTTTTCGATATAACGTTTGTTTGCCAAATTCTTGGTGGCAAATGTCGCACATCAAGCTATTTGTATCCTAATGTAAAAAGCAAAAAAAAAAAAAAATATTTATTCTCTACCTTTCGACTGTACACAAGTTGAAAGAGCAAACAGACATACTGCATGTCCATAGACAACCAACTATATAACATTTTGTGTGCTTTCTAAACGCAAAAGGAGAAATGAAAAACTAGTATTTAAATATTGAATTACTTGCGAAGAAATTGAAGAAATTGCTTTGCTCTTTTTAGGTCTTCCAGAATTGTTTTTTTTCGCAACTGGATTTATCGGCTTCTCTTTAGAGGATCTTTCATCCTTTTCACCATCTATCAAGTCATTCAGAGAAAGAGACTGATACTCTTGCGTATCTGTTTTCTTAAATGTCAGCTCTCTGCACGATTGCAACTTCATCTGATCAACGTCATTGAATGATTCTGGTTCCAAAATTTGCGTCGACTGTTGTAGTTCTGACTCATTGACAATATTTTCCACGCTTATTTGAAAAACAGGCTGAAATGGAGTATAATCAAACAATGAAAATTTCCTTTGTAAAGCGAATAACAAAGCATGAAATAACAATATACCGAATGTAATATTAAATTTCCATTTAAATTTTTTACATCTATCAATGACGTGGCTGTTCCACTTTGTCCAACAAGCATGACTGGAGTTGCAACAATTTCCAACATATCGTCTTTATGTTCTGCAAAGTTCACAATGAATTGCCATAAATGTTTGTTGCCGATATGTCCAGTTTCATTATCACAGACAATCCTTACCAGTCAATGCTAACAGCGTTCGACCATCCTCAGTAGCAACAAAATTTATAGGTATTGTTTCGACATGTGGAGATTCTGTGACCACATTCTGTCGCGTCAACATTTTCTCCATATTTTAAAATGATATACGACGTACAAAGAAAATAAATTCTTTGCACAGATTCGTAGACAGCGATAAAAACGGCAATTATAATTCCCAACCACTAAACACATTTACAAAAATTTTCCATTGTGTTAGATACGCTGGGAATGTTTTGGCACAATGTTTCAAATGTTTGAATGTCTTTTTGAAAGAGACATAACTCAATATTTTTCAGCAGAAATCAACTTAACCTATACTTTGACGATATGAGAGGTTAACTGGAGCGACAACTATCGGAAGCGTTACGTTCGTAAGCGCCGATAAAGAAGCTTGAAATAGAGGAAGAGGGAGTAAATAAAAAAGTGAATAAGTGAATAAAAGTGTCCGTGTATACGAATAGCATATTTCGAACATTAGAAAGAAAAAAAGAAAACGATGAAAATTTAAGAAAAGAAAATGAAACAAACATGTGGATTTTGGTATTGGGTGTAGTTTATTAAATAAAGTAAATTGAATTACAATTAAATTTTTAATCATACAGTAGTCTATTGATATCTCATTTCACAATGTTATTTTTAAATAAAAATAAAAAGAATAGAAGATACAGACGAAACGCTTGATTGTATTTAGTTTTATGTACTCTTAAACATGTATCAAAGAAAATAAGATAAATAATGAAGAAAGTAAAATAGAATGAAAACTACACACACATAAGTGTATGTACTTGCATACTTATGTCTGCTGACTTTAATTCTTTACAAAGAATCGGACACAGCGATAAAAACGGCGATTATAATTCCGAACTGTTAAACACATTTTAAACAAACATTTTTCTTTTTGTATTAGATACCCTGAGAATGCTTTGGCGTAATTCAAATGTTTTCCTTTAAAAGATACATAATTGAATATTTTTCAGCGAAAATCAACTTAACCTGTACTTTCACGACACAAGGTTAATTTGAGCGACAGGTACCGGTGGTATCGTGACAATAAAAAAATAAAGAAGAAGTAAATAACTATATTTCAAATATTATAAAGACGGAAAGAATGGCATAAAAATAAAAAATAAAAAAATGAAATAAATATGTGGATTTTAATATTGGATGTAAGATACAAGTTTACAACTGTTAAATAAAATAAATTGAATTAAAGTTAAATTAAATTTTAAATCGAATCATCTCATTTCACAGCGTTATGCTTAAATAAAACGATCAATTGTATTTCATGTTTTCTTAAACATATATCAAAGGAAGTTAAGATAAATCACAATGGAAAAATAGAATGAAAGATAACACATAGGTACTTGTGTATAGGTACTGTGACTCACTTCAAGTTTCGTTAATCGTCGATTGATTTGTAACGACTGAAATGTGTGAAATATCGAAATCATCATCCGAGAGGCAGTATTCGTATAATTCTGACGTTGATTTTTCCATCGTTGATATTGACATTTGCGACACTGGCGATAACACGGATGGAACAAACGATGTAGATGAAATAGTTCTATGGATAGTTGAGCACATAGAACTATAAGATCCTTCAAAGTTTTTGTGAAATCTACATTCTAGATTGTCCGACAATGATAAAGTTTCGTCAGATTTGTTCGAAATCTTATTAACTGATACTGAAGAAGATCTACGGTCGATCCAGTTCAATGATACATCCAATGACTCGTTACGTTTCCCACTTGACGTGGCATGAGATAAAACAGCAGGAATCTCTCTCGATTCGATTACATTTTCATACGTACGTTGCTCTGTTTCATTTCCGAAATTTATTCCAGAATTTATTGTATTCGTTCTGTCAGATACAGCGTCTTTCGTGTATTCATTTTTATCCTCTATCCGTGTATCATTTTCGCTATTTTTCTGTGCATCAGTGTCATTTTCATCGTTTTTCTCTGTATCAATATCACTTTCGTTATCTTTCTGCGTATCAATATTGTTTTCATTAGTTGTTTCCTTATTTTCTCGTGCAGTGCCTTCGCCACTTCCTTGCTTCCAAAGTTTGACAAAACACCGAATGAGCGAAGTCACTTGTTTCTGATGAAATTTGTTAGTTTCCAAAAGCTCGTACAGTTTAACTAGACTGTTATAACAGGTTTTTTCCCGTGAATTCGATTTCGTTGTAACTTGATTGGTAACCTGCTGGAGATAGTCGCGAGGTTAGGCAATAATGATAATAGTAATAATAGTATTAAACGCATGAATTAGTTTTGAGAGATTTTAAATAAGAGATCTGGTTAGAGGATCCGATTAGGTGTTGATGCGTTGACATTTGTACATGTTTTATACTCAGTGTGTTACAAATAACATACGCGAAATACTTTCAAAAGTATAGAAACGTCATTTGTTGTTCTACTTTTTTAAGAAGAAGAAAATAGTCGCAGATAGTCGCTGAAATTTAGTTGAAAGCAAGTTTAGATTTGCAAGAATTATTGAACTAAAACTCAGTTCAATTCACTTTAAAACTTTGCAAACTTAAAGCATCGAATGTTGAGCAAATACTGGAGAGAACGCCAACTAATTGCAAGAGAATGATGCAAGATGATTTTCTTGTATGTACAATGCCCAGTCATACGTTGTTTTAGTTATGAAGCAAACATATCAAAAAAGTATGTACGTACAAAACTGAATGAATCTGTTTAAAAGATAAACAACTGTATCGTTGGGTTCGTCCATCTTGTGAAAAAGGTTTGGCAAAAGGTTTTTTACAAAACGAAAGTAGATTCTCTTTGAATAGATGCATTTCTCAAGTTAAAAATTCTAACTCAAAATTAATTCATCCTCTTAATAGTAATAACATTATTATTATTGGGTCACGAATTAACGGACAATAAATACCACTTGTTCGGAAGCGTATTTTCGTGCCTTCTCCGTAACGGACTTTGGCAAGCCAGATAATTCAGCTAGAACGATACCATAATCGTCGGAATGAGCCACACCGGATTTCAACCGATGGGTGTAAGTTAATCGATGATTAATATTATCAGCTTCCGATCCTCGGGCCCCGTTTATTGTTTCGAAATATCGACTGAAAAATAATAATTTAAATCTTAAAATACCATAACATGAAAAAATCCAAAGGAGGTATTTACACCTTCTTCTATCATTTAATTTAATTTATCGACGCTAAATCTACATACAACGTATACGCAAGTATCATACTTTGTCACGTTGCAGTATAGATCCGCTAATTTCGTTAGGTAAGTAAAATGAGTTGCAGCGAAAATAAAAGCAGTTGTATTCAACAGTTTTTCGCATGTAGCCCACGCGATTGAAGCACCTTCTTCAATAGCGGTACCCTTGCACAACTCATCGAGAATGATGAGTGAAGTTGCCGTAACAGATCGTAATATGTATTGCGCTTCTTTCATCTATGGAATAAGAAATGAATTGCTCGGTACAATTACAAAAGATACACACATCTACTGAAATTGAAACAGTAGTAGTGTAGGATCAACGAGTAGGTGCGCGCTGACTTTCAGTCATTAGCAATTAGTCATGGCTATTGACACGTTCGAGTAACCATCAATTGAGTTACACTAGCAAGTACTCTTTCAGCGATAATCCTCGATGCACCAGGTACAATGAACAAGGGCACGCGACCCAACATTGAAGCTAATAGTACCAATAGTACTTACTTCGAGAGCAAACGTGGAAGCGTTGCATTCGATATCGTCGCGAATGGCTATTTTACAAAAAATGAGATCAGTTATACGAAACATTGCTTCTTTGGCCGGTACGAAACAACCAAGTTGCGCCATTACGTGCAGCAAGACAATTTGCTTGAGATAAGTTGATTTGCCGCTCATGTTGGGTCCAGATATTATACACAGGTTCTGAGGTATCGATGCATTCTGTAACAAGAAAATGAGCGAGAGAAGCAATTACCTACGTAACATAAACAATTTCAAGACTCGGTGTATACACATGTACATATGTGCATGTACATCAAGGCAAAAGTACAAAAAAATTACCACGTTATTCGGTACGGGGCCATCGAAACCCAAAACATCCATTACTGGATGTCTTGAATCAATTAATTCCAATTTGGATCCGAAGGATGGCCTCGTGTATGTTGGAAGAGAACTGACTTGAGCAAGGGATGTTACCAGGTCTAACTCTGCGATATCGGCACTCAATTGGAATAAACAGCCAATGTATTCTCGAACACTCTGTAGCAAGTCGTGCAGGAGTCTGTTTACAGACAGATATTACATTCCATTGTAGAATTTGCATAAATTGAGGATTCGTAAGATTTCAAACGAGTGTAAGAAAAATCGTTTCGATACGTACACGTTACTCATCAAGTGCAATTCTTCGCATGCAATTTTACATTGCTGATTCAACGTTGCAAGCGCATTGGTAGTCATTGTGTACACTCGTTTGTTTCTCCTTATCTATTCATGCGGATACATTATTTAAATTTATAGATAATTATACGCATGTATAATTACTTATTACTAATTACTAATTACTTATTATTAATTATTATACGTTCGAAACTGCTACGTAATGTGTATAACGATGCTTGAAAATATATTTAATACTTTACCTCTATGAATTCGGATGGTAGATCAAAGGTTTCAGCATTTAAATTTCGAGGCAACATCGCTTGGACATGATAGCCCAGAGAAGCGTTGCAGCTTAAAGACAAAGTTAATTTGTATTTGGATGCCAAATTTTCCACCATGCCTGTTGAAAGGAAAGAAACGCGAACGAATTATTTTCGAGATTACAAAGATCTCGTTCCTTTTACTCTTTTCAATTCACTGACTTTTCATATCGTCGATTAATTCGCAATAAGTTTGTCGGGCGATGTCTAACAAGTCGTTAATTCCCGCTCTGATAGCAAAGCAACGTTGCATGTTCGAGGATGTATGTCCAGTTACGGATCTTGCATCTGGATGTATAGTTTCAACGATTCTTTCTCGCATCAATCGAAAGTCGTCATTTTTTAGTTTCTGAAAGGCAAAAAAAAAAAAAAAAAAATTAGACAGTGACGATATATATATATGCATACTTAAACGCGATAGAAAATTACAAACCTTTTGGATTTTACATAAGAGGTCACTCTTACCAGCTAATAATATCTTTTCAAGTTCAGGCACGACCTCTAATAAGTTTTTCAACAACAAAACATAATTCAGATTCTGTTCTGCAGTTTGCACGTTGCTTTCGTGTAAAGCAGGTGTCGTCGACAAAATTAAAAGCCTATCAGCACCGTAAAGTCGTCGTACGATGGGCTACAACCGTACAAATTTCAGAATAAGAAAAGAAACGCAAAGAATGGCAGAAAGAAATGATGATAATGACATCAATGTTTGAACCTGGATTAATGCACGCAACGAACAGTTGGATACCAGCTCGGCAACGGCGGCTTGTCGCTCGAGAATTGCTTGTTCCTCGCAAGAAGGTTGAAGTATGTTTGCGCGTAAAAGTTTTCTACCCATAGGTGTTAAACAACGATCCAAGCTACCTAACAAACTGACATTTCGTTCACCACATTGTGACTGGACCAACTCCAAACTTCGTGCACTTTCCAAATCTAGTTTCGAGCATTATGTTAGATGTATATTTCTCTTCTATTTACGTAACTACTCGTCGTGCACGTTGCCTTACCTATCGTGGCAGCATTTGGCGATCCTTGAAATTCGATTTTCATCGATTGTGGCGTGTAAATAATGCGTTGAGCATATTCGACGTATTTTAGTAGTGCTGCAGCTGCGGCTAACGCGTAATATCTATAATAGATGATCATACAATTTTGAAACATACTCTAGAACTAGGCTGGCATATCGTGCTCGTTATCATACATTATTAATTGATTATTATAAACGATATATATAAAAGAGAATGAAACACGATATAGGTACGATCCATTGCGCACAACGACACTGTTGTCAATCGAAGGTAACATTTACTTTTGTTTAACAAATAATTCCACCGAGGAGTATTCAGGGTTGCAAAGAGATTTGATTCGTTCCAAGCCGATCGTGTCGTTAAAATGCACACGAGATATCGGCGTTAGCTCTGTTTCAGGAAACTTGTCCATTATGGAACGATAAAGGACGCTATTGGACGCCGTGGTACATTCACACATCGTGTCCGGCATTAAAATCTACGATATTCAAAAATGAAATTGTCAGATTCGTTTCGCTCGAGTCGATCATGTATACGGAGTAATAATATACAGACGAGAATGTTGAATTAATTTGAAATTGTTGAGACTTGATATAGTTTCGAATCTAGAAACAAAATCATGTACGTACACATCTCGTAGAAGATACTTACTTCCATGGGATCGAACAAGTACAATTTGCTCAACGCGTTAATGTAAGTCTGAGAATCGCTGATCTGGCAAAGAATCAAATGTGGACATCGGATGTCCAGCGAAGCTATCCCGACTTCTGATCTTGCGTCACCTCGGCCGGTTGTTATGGCTGTTGTCGGTCGAGTTAAATTGTCGCAACATTAAATTACCACTACTTGGCTTAATTGTAATATATACGTATGAAGAAACAAAAGGAAAAAGAAAAAAAAGATGGGAAAGAAGAACTAACCGACAACGGTGCTGCCAATAGCAGATTCCAGCAAACTCGAACTAGGCCCTGTAGTGGTTTTCGTTCCAGATCTAGAAACAATCGAACATCCCATTCATTTTTCATTATCGACCACGGATAACGCACGATCGCGTACGAAGTTCGAAGCTTACCTGGAAACGTAGTTGCGAGACGTACTTGTTCGTAGAGAGGATGACACCTGGACATTACGAAATTTCGGTGTTTTCGAATGGGAGGCGGAAGTGGTGGTTGCCGACTTCCAATTTGTTCCTCGCTTTGTCTTGATATCAAATTTGAAATCTGCAGGAAGCATATATATATAGGTAAGTACTTACCATACGTATAACACATATCAGGAGAAGTAGAAGAGGAAAAGCAACCGAAGCGAAGAGACAGGACGAATTTATGTAACAATGTGAATTGATCGATAAAAAGATCGTCGGAAACAATGATTGGTTATATTCGCAACGAGATCGCTACATACGACGTTTCGTTAACGGAACGTTGAATTGTTGCCGGAATCGTGTCCCAGGTTGTTTCCTTTGTGGTTTTAAAGCTGTTTCAGTTCTTATTACGTTCATATTTCTTTTGACTGAAAGATTGAAAGATCAAATTGAAACTGTACGATCAAATACGTACAAACGTACAAACTTGCTTTCAACGGTCGTGCGTTTTAAAACGAGAGGTAAGCATGTACATACATATATTTAAGTAGACGCATGCGCACTGTTATCATCTACTTGGCCATCTATACACTCCTTTCAAAGGAAAGATGCGATTCTTTCAGCTTCCAACAAGCATATGCGGAGAAAGGTTGAGATTACATTACCAATTAACATGTTGAACTAGCTTTTTAATTTAGCAATATATAAGATTTATTTACAAATTTGATACCACGTATTTATAGATAGTACATACTAGTTCCAATTCCAGGTATCTCGCGTATTCAATAAATAATAGTATCACGATTGTTACGGATTTAAAATAAATATCGCTTTATCGTCGATTCCTACAATTTCACTTGTTTACATACGTAAATACGTAATGTCTACATGTATTTACAAGTCTAAGAAAGTCTTACAATTCTAAGATTGTCAAGCTCGTAAGCTGCCCTACATGATTTAACGGCCTTATCGATCGATCGATCGATCGATCGATCGATCAACACTTTTAACAACGAAACCACGTTTGCTCAAGCAAACAGAATATTACGGTTCGCCTGCATTCCCGTGCTCGCTCCTGTTAAACGGACAAAGATTTCCAGTTCGTTTAACACGGGTTTATAAACGATGAAACGAATAGTACTCGTTCTGGAAAGACGAGCAACATGGTTGGCGAATCGTTGCATACGTATACGTATACGTATACGCATATGTCTAAAATAGTATAGACAGATGATAAATGTCGATGAAATTGACCGACATCACACAGCCGATGCGTTTAATCGTATCGTATTCTCGGTTATTCCACTCGTAAGAAATAGAAAACTTATGGATTATAACGCTTGTTCCACCATTATTATTCTGTTGTAACGATATGAAGAATACGCAACATACATATACGTACGGTATACGCAGGATAAAAGCCACATGCATACATACATAATACGCGCACCACTTACTACAACGTTTAGAGTGATCAGTTGCTAATTCCACTGTATAGTCTACATACATTATATATGTACAAAAAAGATTGCACAGATTCGCGCACGATTTACAAGTACGGTATAATAATTGACAGGCTGCGATATAATATAAATGCTTTCACAATCAGTGAAAAAGAAACGAAACGTTACGACGCGTTACGCTGAATGAGCGAAATATTGATATTTGCGATATTCTTTTCATCTTTCGCAGTCACGTTTACGTGCTTACGTGCTTTCCTTCTTCGTTGCAACGTACCTTACAGACAGGTTTGGCAGATGCATTGCGCATGCATTATTAGACATGACTCTCGAGGGGTACTTTATACACTTTGGAAGCCAAGCTAGTATCCGGCAAGGACTGCGGGCGGGCATTAGTCACGTTGAAAACGACGTTGCTCGGGCCACGAAAACTGACCTCGATAAGAAAACTAGCGTCGGTGAGTCCGATGCGAGCGGTACTTAAATCCGGAGAACTTGTTCTCAATTGACTTTTCTTCGGCCTATACTCGTTTCTAACTACTTTCTCAGCCTCGACCTGCAATTTGTTATCCAACCAATGCACCTTGTCGAAATCCTTGGTACCGCCTACAGTGTGCCGACGTTTGATCGATCGTTCGGGCATACCATTCTTTCGTTTCAATTTCGTCGCGCCGTCTTTCCTAACCGACTGCCGCCTCTTACTAATATTACATTCAGTTTTCTCAGTTTTTGTCAATGACTCGGATCGCTTTAACTTGCTATTCGGAGAATCGGATCTCTCCGAATGCTTGTTCAAACTTTCGGATCGCTTCAGTTTGCCATTGGTCGGGGACGAGAGCCTCTCCACAGAATGTTTGTTCAAACTTTCCGATCTCTTCAACTTGGACGAGGTATTCTCGGATCTCTTGTTCAAGGATTCCGATCTCTTCAGTCGCGATCTGACTTCGAAATTTGTCAGGCTCTCGAATTTTTCGAGCTTGTTGGAGTAATTCGCCGAGTCGACATCGTGTCGGAGATCTTTCGCGCCATCGATCGCTTTGCCACCACCGTTTTGCGCCAACATCGACGTTTCTTTTTCGGGCTTGCAGCACTCTTGCGCCTCGTTTGCAGTTAAACTCGCTTCGTAGCCTGCTGTTGTCGGTGTCGGCGTCGTTGTTGTCGTTGTCGTCGTTGAAGTCGTCGACGTTGCCGTCGTCGTTGCCGCTGTCACCGTCGCCTCCGCCGTCGTTGTCACCGTCACCGTCACCGTCGAAGACGACGCCGTTGTTGTCGTTGTCGTTGTCGTCGTCGTCGTCGTTGTCGTTGTTGTCGTCATCGTCATCTCCTTGCTCGATCGCAATTGCTCTTGCTGTTTCAACTCGATCCTTTTTCGTACGATAGCGCTTCGATCGTTATCCGGTACGTCGATATTGTCCGGTCGATCGACCATGCCGCTATTCTCCGTCACCGATGAATCCGTGTCCTTTTCCGGAGCATCCTGAGTGAAACAAGCAATGCTATGAATTGAACTGACACATGCTTGAGCGTATGTTCTATGGATGTTGACGACTACACGCCAACTATTACACTACATTTTAATTCAATTTTGTTAATTCACACAGATTCAGAGTGTGTATACTTGCATTTTTCTGACGAACGTATTGATGCTTATCGACAGACGTCTTATGGAGGCTTGGATCTCGATAAGTTTCAGCAGAACAGGATCGCGGGCCGGTTGTTTTGCGTTTCTCTTTCTCGTCTCGTAATCCACCTCCCCGTCCACCAACGTCGCCACCTCCTCGTTGATTCCGCAAGTTTTGCGAGTCTCGCGTTATCGCGGCATCCTCGTCGCTGAGAGACAGATTTTCCATAGTGAATCCACGAATGGTTTGATTCGACGAGTTTACCAGGGACTTCCATTTACGATCGAACGTGGTCGTCAAGCTAGTCAACAGATCACTACCTGCAATCCAATCGAGTCGCTTTAATAGAAACACGTGCACCCATCCTACCGGCAATGAGACGATACCTGTACTAATACTTTGTACTAATCGGAAGCGAACGGTTTCAACGAGAAAAACACACACACACACACATACACACACGCGCGCGCGCGCACGTACACATACACACAAAGCATTGAACGAAGTGGTCGTGATCGTTCTCGACCGCAAAAAACAAAACCATAGTCGTTTGCATAACGAGCGTGATAACGAGCTTGAAACGTTCGTTAGGAAGGCAACGTTTAGGCGAATGAAACAGCAACTACAAATCTAACAATTGCATTTTGCACAAACTCGGCATTTCTCTCGTCGATCTCGCCACAGCGTCGGATAACTGTTGCAAGCAACTGATACGACTGATCGTTCGTCAACTACTGTCGCATGTTCGTTCAGTCCTATCCGGCTATTCCTGCCTCGCTTGTTCTTCCATGCCAGCTGTCTCCATCCGTTGGCTCGTCTCTCAGCTCAGTTACGATTAAGCTATTGACATCTCCATTGATTAGTAGTATCTTTATCGAAGCGAAGAGAGCAGGGGTAACAAAGGTACGATTCGTTGGGAAACACGGGGACAAAAAACGTGAAAAACTCAAAGGAAAATGGGATACTTTCGTCGATACTTGCGCGTTTGACGTGTACAGAGAGATGGAGGTACATGAATCGAATAATCGTGAAGCAGCGACAAGACAGCATAATAACAGTAACAGAAAATGTAATTTGTTCCTTCTTCACTTTAGAAAAAAGATGTACATACATACACGCATGTATGTACGAGAGACAGAGAGAGAGAGAGAGAGATAGAGAGAAATAAGACTTGAAAAAAAAAAGAAAAAAGAAAGATACAGGAAAGAATAATCGTAACATCCATAGAGATTTTCATCGACAGAAAGTAACGTTCGTTGAAAGCGGAGAAATATAATAGATAACAGGCAGGCGGATAGACAAATAGTTAGCCATTGCGTTAACCAACAAACGAAAATCGAGTGAAGATCACGGAGAAGTGATTGAACAACGAGAGAGAGAGAGAGAGAGAGAAAGAGATAGAGATGGAAGAAAATAAAACTTTGTTAAACGTGCGTTTAGCAGAAATAAAGAGTGTAAAAGCCATTCGTGTGAGCGAGTGACAACCATAGTCGAGCAGTTTGCGACTTGGTACATATTCCTGTCGGCGGACCAAGTAATTTACCTCGAAGGAATCTGTTTAAAGTCTTGGAAGACAATCCGACCCCTGAGCCCGAGGACACCCCTCGCGGTGGTGACTGCTCGATCGGTTCGACAGATCCCGAGAATCGAGACCCGGGGGGCTCCGAGGCCGGTGACACCCCCGTGGAGGAGGGTGCCGATGATCGTTGCACAACATCGATGTCGGCTGCGTCTGACTCTGACTTTGACTTTGACTCTGACACTGACACTGACACTGACACTGACACTGACACTGGCACTTGCATTCGCCCTGGCATCGGCATCGGCATCGGCATCGGCATCGGCATCGGCATCGGCATCGACATTGGCATTGGCATTGGCATTGGCATTGGCACGGACATCGGCATTGATATTGGCATTGACATTGGCATTGGCGATGGGCCCGGTGTCTTCGAGGCGGGACCAGTGGGGCTTGCGGTACCGTGCAGGTGAGACGATATGTACCACCAGAAACCGGGATTTGCCGTTTGCCTAAGAGTGTTCAACGCATTCGCATCGTCATAATCGACATCCTATTCAGACGACCATGTACTAACACTGCAGTGTGTAGCATCTGCCAAGTGACAAAACGAGCAAACCAACGAACGAGTACGAAAGCGAGGAGCCTGCCCCTGCCCCTCTTCTACGCTTTTACACCCTCTCGGCCTTTTCTCCATCCATCACCACCCCCAATCCAATCTCTATACAATACTAACGTACGTGTATCATCTCGTATCATATCCTCCGCCGCCATCTTTTCCATTTCCATCCCTTCTACACTCTTCCATCGTTTGTCTTGTTTCTCCCCTTTCGCTTCGTGTCAGCAGAGACCATCGCTGCTGCTGCTGCTGCTGCTGCTACTGTTGCTGTTACTGCTGCTGCCACTACTACTACCATTACGTTTTCTTTTTCAAGTCGATCGATCTTTCACTGGTTCGCTTTTTATCATTTATCATTTCTCTCGAAGGTTTCGAGGTTGTTGGTCCAATTTAAGAAAGAAACACATTCGCACCCACGCACGCAGCCACAAACACCCATGTACGCTCGCACGCATACTCGTCGCATTCGGTCTAAAGCGACCGATATTCATTCGTGATAGAAAAAAGAAGAAAAAATAAAAAAGGAAGATACGGTAAACCACAAAGAGATATTTTTTATGCGTTTAAGATATACTGCACAATCACATCTAATTCACAGATACTACAGGAGGTAATACACCGAGAGTTTAGGTGAGACTCGTTCGAAGAACGAGCAGGAGGCAGTTTCAACGCCAACATCAAAGCAAATAATTGAGCGCGCAAGCGGTCAAGCTGCGATATTTGACGAATAGCCTTCTTTCTTTCTTTCTTTCTTTCTTTCTCCATTTTGTCGACGTTATCGTTCTTAATATATATATATATACACGTGTACGTGTAATTACATGCAGATGCGAAGAAAGATTGCTCCTGTGGAAAGTGGAAACAGCCTAATGCATGTTTCATAGCGATTGAAACCTGACTCGAGAAGAAACTAAACACATCGATCACCAATCGTCAGTGCGCACACGTTGAAACGTTTCGTAGCGTTGCAATCGTTACGTTTTTATTAATTAAGTTTCAATCAATTTACATGCAGAAAATACAGATACTAAAGAAAGAAAAGAAACAAGACTGTTTCAAACTGCTACGAAGTTTAGAATATTGTGAACCAAGTAGAAAGAAACTCGTAGAAAAAAAAGGAAAAGTGCTTTCGATCTACGCAAAGTGTAGTGTGCCGTCGTTTCACCGTCCAACGTTGTATCATCGGCTTTTCAGCAGAAAAAAAAAAAAAAGAAAATAATAACAACAAGTAACGGCAGAAAGAAAGAGACGAAGGAAAATAGAAGAAAAAGAACAGCTTTGAAACATCGACAAGACGTCGATGTTAAAGAAAATGACCGTATGCATCTATCGTGCAATCTATCGTAAAGTTACTCATAAAATTTTAAGATTTAAACAATACCAAGATTACAGGCAAAGAGTACCTAGAAAGTTTTCTGTTAATAGTCAGAATCTTCTGAGTCCACTGTAGGAAACAAGATCCAGCTACACTCACCAAGAGCGTCAGAAGCAACGTTACATAGAGAAAAATATAAAGAGAATAAATAATACATAGATGGGATGGGAGTTCACGTTTCGCGGTAACTTTCAGGGCCAAAACGCTAACGCTAACGCTAACGACGAACATTCGTATCGCGTACACGTCCCTCTTTTCCCGACTCGTACGTACTTGGACAATTACGGAATAATAAATTCAGAATGTTCACCCAACAACGAAATATACACCCAGAGACTCGAAGAGACAAGCTTCTCACGCTTTAGCTTCCAATTTAGAAAAAGATAAAACAAGAATACTGACACGATACGAATACCACAGAAATATTGTTGATATATCGATACTAACCGTCATCCGAGACATCGCTCGAAAGAGGTTTTCGTTGCTGATTGGTTGGCGAAGGCGACGACTGAGAAACGTTGTGCGTTTCGTGTAAAGAATCCAAACTGCCATAACGAATTGGCGGTAGCGTTGGAGATTGTTCCAAAGTTTGCTAAAAAGTTCAAAACAGAAAAAAAAAAAAAAAAAAGGAGAAGAAACCTGTAGTGTAGTAGTCCAAGAAAAAATTGCCAGGTCAAATTTTAAATCGAATCAAATTGGAAATCTTACCTCCAAACTGTCGGTTTTCAGTTTCTTTGTACTGGTGTTGGAAACGTTCTCCGAGGGCAGAATCGTCTCAGATTCGTTCGCAAGCTGCGACACTCGTCTAACGGGTGTTGGCTGTTGCTGCACAGCGATCGAGAGAGGCGGCATTCGAGCGGTCGATCGGGAGCCGATATCGAGGAAAGATTTATCGGTGAGCCTATCGTTAAAACTAGAAAGCCGCGTTGCTGGCGAAAGGTACGTAGCAGCAGGTGTCACAGTCGTATCTACTATGTTGTCGAGTAGATCGTCGTTCTCCATTTCACGTTTAGCCAACTGCCATTCCATCTCGATTCTCCGTCGCTCTTCTTCTCTCCTCTCCGCTTCTCGTCTCTGTCGATTCCGATCCCGCTGCAACATCGCCTTTGTTTCTTGCTCGAACCTTCGTATACGTTCTTGCGTAGACGCGCTCAATCCAGCGTACGTTCTTATCGTGACCTCGTCGTTGCTTTGTTTCGTGTCGTTCGAAGCGCTCGAAAGCGTCGAACTTGCGTCGAAGCAGCTCAGGCCAGTCTCGCTAGAGAGTCGGGAGGACTCGGAAGCCGACGAGACGGCCGAGCGATGACTCGACTGAATCGATGGAGCCGACTCTATCATACGGTTTAAATATTTGTTTGATTTGTCCGAGGGAACGTCACCGTGGCTGCACTTTAACACGCAATCGTGAGAATTGATGGTGCAGTCGGTTATACCGTCGGAACCACCGACGATATCTGTGCTGGCAGTCTCGTCGAGCATCGGTGACCGTTCCGAACGATCGGCCGAACGATTCAACTGATTCTGACTTTCGTGCATTAAAACGATTTCACTGACCGAACATTGCCTCTCGTTCAATGCCATACTTCGCCGATTTTGAAGATTCTCTGCCTCTTGCTTCATCCTCAGCTAAATATGAAACAAACGCGATCAAGTTACAATCGTTTTACAATCTCACAATATGCCTCGATATATATCTAAGTAAATATATATATATATATATATATATATATATATATATATATATATAGATCGGCAAGACGCAAGTACGTACAAGTACTATCAACTACTATCATATTTCTCACATGAAACCAAACCTTATCGACTTCGTGACTTTCGTTATCCGTCTCATCCTGACATTTCCTCCTTCTTTGTATTTTTCGATTAGCGGCAGATATGATGGACGACACGATGTCCTTGGCAGATGCCATTTCGCGTACTCCTATTTCATTTCCAATTGCATTAAAACGAAAATTACAACGTACAATCGTACATGTACATACATATATACACACACACATGTACGAGAGACGAACGGTCAAAAATTAAAACGTGATAAATTAGAAATCGTACCTTCGACTTTCTGAATGTTATTCAACAAAAGATTATGATTATTAGAGGTTGTAGTCTCGATCTCGCTAGTGTCAGCTGGAAGACTAAGATTCACGCTCAATCTGCTTAAATCGTCCAAATCATCGTCCGAAAAGAACCAGTCCACCTGTCATCGGATACGTAATCATTAATATTCCAGTCGCAAAAGGATTCGCGTTTGAGAATGTCGTACATACGTTGTTCAACAAGCTTTCGACAATCCGACATTGGTGGGACATGTCAGTAACCATAGTAACCATATTGTCTCTGGAACCACTCGCTCTAACCAACGTAGGGCCAAACACAATGGCCAAATTCTTCGCCTCCATCTTATTGATCTCGCTGTGTTCGACTATTCGTTTTAAATGAAACATCAAATACTTGAGAGTTTCGAAGTGATGTTCCGGAAGATCTCTCAGTAACTTTCTTATCGTTGTCATTCTTCTTTGGGGATCTTCGACTTTATCCGCATCGATAAACATTGGGTACAACTCCGAGGTGAGCAACGAGTCCGGTAGTTGTCGGAAGAACGACTTGAGCAGAGAAGATATTACATTTACGTCGCTCCATCTGGGATCCTAAAAGCAGTGGGGGCAAATAAGTGCTGAATAATCTATACTGTTACAATTTCTAGTAGATTGATAACTATCGATGACGTTTTACCTGCAAATTGATATTTTCAAATCCTTTGTTCACGCTGTCTGTTAACTGGGAAATAGCAGCAGTGTTACCGGGCACTCTGTAGATGCCGATAACTTCGAGACCTCTCGCTTCAACGATGCTCGTGCACATTTCAACGATCAGTGGCACATATTCCGAGAAAGATGACTGATTTAAGAACAAAAAAAATTTAACTGATCGATTACAATACGAGCCTAGTAAAAGAAAATCTATCATCGAGAATAAAGGGAAGAAAATACAAGAGGGTTAGAGACAGAGAGATGATAGACAGAGAAATAGAATTACCGGTGGACAGAGTTCGAGCGGTACTTTGAACGTAGCACCTTCTGGCGGCAGTTGCGTTGTTGGCGAGGAAGGAGATCCTGTTTGACCGTGCATTCTTCGCAATTGTTTCGCGACTCTACCTTTCCATGTCTTGGTCTTTGGAGAAACCAAACTGTCGATCGTTTGACTCGGTTTCCGAGTTTTGTTTATCGGAGATTGTCCAGTCGGAGATCTGTTCCTGAACGAGGTTAATTTTTTGATGCCTTTATGTCCTGGGAGAGGACTTAATCGTTGACCAGCGCTACCACTACCACTCGACATTGTCATTGGACTAGTACTGGTGGTCGTTTGAGATGTCGAAGAACTGCTAGTTGGACCTGGAGTCTGCGGAACGGCTTGCTGCTTCAAAGTACTATTATGGGTAATTTCCTAAAATACAAAACAAAACGAAGCTACACCAACGAAGCTAAGTAATTTGTTACAAAGATCACGATTACAAGATTAGTTTATAAATTATACTGTTGATATTGTACAAATTGTAACGTGTACAACGTTTTGAACTTACGGACGGTTTTTCTGCAGCAGCATGCTCGTGCAGGGCTCGTAACCAAAGTGCCATGGACGCTGCGTCTTCAGTCTGTAGTAGAACCTCTGCGTTTGGATTCGCCAACCGTAGTACATGTTTGCGTTTCGTATAATCTTCCGCGATATCTACGAGCGAGCATCTCACATCTACGCTTTGAGCTACGTTTTCACCATCGTAGGATAACGAAGGACTCTAAAAACAATCAAAAGGAATCATATATTTTACGGAATAAAAAAACAGAACAAAGTCGAAAATTTAATCAACATGGTTCGATAGTTTTCGTAGTGTTTTCTAAATACCTGATTTTGACGATCCTTGTAAAAGAAGAGAATCGGTCCACGAAGGACGCCCCATAGTTGTTTCCACGAACGATCGGAAGATCGCTGAAATATAACAAGACGTAGTGAATAGGTAACACGATCAAATGCAATTGATTATATGTATAATTATATGTGCAACTGATTATATATATGTATAATAATTATATGATAATCGTGTATGGCCATTATGGGCCTATATATGCATATATCACGTATATCTTCACCTTGCCATCAAGTACAGTAAATTTGACATGTAGAGGTCCCTCCCGTTCCACTTGTCCGACATCTTTTACAATGTCAATAGCTGCTTCTCGACCGGGACAGATGGTACTGCCGCTGAAAAATTCATGGGGCATTCTTTTCCAATGCATCAACCACTGTCAACTATTCATCTAATTGATCAAGAAACCACGTTTCTTTTTTCACGCTAATTGTAGTAAACGATAAGGCTCTATCGATACAGCGAAGAGAGCGAAAACAGCGGAAAGAGCAAAAAGAGATGGACATACTTCAGACTACAATGCGAGTCTCTTTTCTTCCATCTTTCATTACCACCACCTTCAATCATAGAATTCTACTTCGAAGCAACAATGTCTGCCAGCTATAAATACAAATACAGAGAAACATCGAGGGTGGTACATATTCGAGATAATTAACACGCGTTTCTACAAACACGAATGGTTAGAGATTAGTGATTACCATGGTTAGAAACGAAGCAATCAAACCGAGCGATCGAGGTATTAATAGGTTGCGGCCAATCGCAATCAGTAACGAGGAAATATATTACATACACGTTTAGATACGCGGTAAAAGATTAAACGGTTTTAAAAAACAGAATACAGCATCTTTGTGATTTTCTCAACGTGTACTCTGTAGAGCTGAAAAGAAGACGAGTGGGTCCGACCGGTTGTAATAAATTGGGACTATCTCAATATTATTATATACCATATACTCAAATGTATGTAATTATTTTGTCCGACGAGAGTGGGACAAACGAACGTTTCCCTCTTGCCCCTGACACCATCCCACTACTCTTCTCTCCAACTCTGCGTAGTACTATCCTCACCGATTAATATTTTTGTTTAAACTTGTCGATTGAGTCACTTCCTCGAAGATGCGACGCAGCGATGCTATATCGTTTGGAAGTAGCGGTAGCCGCCATCTCTTATGAATGCTGAAAATATGGACGGAGGAAGAACTTGATGTATACTCGCGAATGAGCTACGATATTCTACGATAGACAAGTGGTCCATACCCCAAACACCGTGAAAGAACGATATACCCCGTACATATGAGTGAGAGAGAGAGAGAGAGAGAGAGAGAGAGAGAAAAGAGAGAGAGAGAGGAGGTGAAGGTAGGACAGGAGAGAGAGGGGAGAGAGAGAGAGAAAATACACGACATACGTGATTAAATCTAAAGCAAAAGAGTTTTTCCTATTGTTTGACATCTCCTCAGCTTACCTTCTACAACTATGGGTGATAGGCTCGGAATCGCTTAGTTCTAAATCACTGTCGACATGGATCCGCTCGCCCCAAGTTGCTTTCAAGTAGGACACTCTTCTTGTGGCACGATCTTCGTCTGTTAGAAAGAAAACAAACATAAACATAAACAATTCCTTCGACGAACAAATCAATTTGTTTGATTCGTTAAATTTGCCGATATTCGATTAAATATTTACCAATTTGCGTATTCTTTTGCCGCCTGAATACAACCTCGTTATTATGTATGTCGTTATCCGGTAGCAGTACACCTTCAAATCATTCAAAAATGATTAATCAATTATACTTCTTTTCTCTAGTTATTCAAAACGCGAGACGACAATGTAATTTACAGAAGAAAAACAAAGTAGAACAATACGGAAAAGCTAACCAGATTCAGTTTTAATCATCTGCGCGTAACCATCCTGCTGCTGCTGCCTTCTAATTCCCTTCTCGACGACTTTCTCGTTCCCATCACGAATGTTGGTTGGATCACCGTAAACACTACTGTCGTTTCCATTCGTATCTCGCTTTCGCTCGGTATCGTCTTGTCGCTGAAACCAGTGATGTCTAACGGTACTTAACAAATTACTCGCACCCGTCGATTCCCACGATTCGGCGCTGTTGCTACGAATCCTCGGCCGTACTTTTTCTCCGTCTGCGATTCGCGGACTTGATGTCTCTACATAAATCATGCAAAAATTGCAAGACATTAGAATGGCATTCTTGAGAAACTGGATCAATGTTTAAAGTTGTTAGTATTGTACAAAAACGTGTATACCAATGAAACACATAAATTTCGTGCTTGACCAGAACAATGTACCAGCACAGCATTAAAAGGCGTGCGATGGACGCTGGAATAATACAAAAATCAAGGAGGAGAAAGGGTGTACAATTGAGAGTGATGGTGATATCAGGACAGAGAGGGATTGAAAGGGAGGGTGGATGACTGACTGAGTGAGTGAGTGAGCGAACAAAAAAGAGACAGAGAGAGAGAGAGAGAGAGAGATGGAAGGGGGAGAGAATTACAGTGGCAAACGCAACATTTAATTGAATCAACTCTCTCTTCTACCTTCTAGCGTGTTATAGTTGATTGGTGGTTCACAGTGGATGTGTTTGCTGCCTACAGGTATTATTCTGTTTCCTTTTAATCCGCTACCTAAATATTTACAGTGGCACATTAACAATAGACAATGTCCAAGCATTTATCTTCGTTTATTCGTAAATCGTAATTTCGCGATAAAAGTACTTGAAATGGAACAGAGAGAAAGAGAGAGAGAGAGAGAGAGAGAGAGAGAGAGAGAGAGAGAGAGAGAGAGAGAGAGAGAGAGAGAGAGAGANCGATAAAAGTACTTGAAATGGAACAGAGAGAAAGAGAGAGAGAGTGAGAGAGAGAGAGAGAGAGAGAGAGAGAGAGAGAGAGAGAGAGAGAGAGAGAGAGAAAAAAGAACAAATCGGGGAATTTACCATTATCCAAGGATTTCGTTTCCCTGATTGGCACAGGTAATACTCTTCTTGGTTCTTGAGCTTCGGCTTTCGATTCGAATTCTCTTCTTCTAACGGCAACGTTTGGTACGCTATGCTTGGTCGACAATCTCGACAGCTCGCTCTTGTAGAGGCTGATGCGATCGCCAGTTGGTTCGTCGTCGTCGCTTAACAATCGTCCGGACTCGAACTGCTTCGCTCGCTTCGACACAATTTGAAGCCCTTGCGGCAGTATTGGAAATTTGTCATTTACCTTCTTCTCCGGCCCAGGAGACGAAGGCAAAGAAGAAGAAGAAGAAGTACCATTCTTTGTATCCATCGTTTGTCTTTCACCAGGGAGTAACGTGCCGGCGCTCGTAACATTTTCGTGTATTCTAGACAGAGTTCCAACAAAATTGTTCGATTTGCCGATATTTCGTTGCAACTGTTGTTGATGTTTATCGATGACTCCTACGGGAACGCTATCGTCGATCAGTTGCCGAGGTGAGTCTTGGTCGTGACAGAACGGTGTCGGCATTGAACATCGCAGGGAACAAACCCAGGATTGTCTCGTTCTTGGCGACAAACCGGGTATCATGCTGACCGATCTACGTTGCCTGTGCCCACCCCTTTCCGGGGAACGAAGACGCGGTCGTTGATTGGTTTCAGGATTATGAGCAGTTTCGCCGAAATATCTTTGCAGAATATCGTCCTCTTTGGACACTACGAGAAGTCGTAACCACGGTCCAGCCTGCTGGATACGTTGAACCACCTTTGCGTATTGTTCACCGCGTGTTGGTTTCCCATCGACGGAAACGACCCTGTCCCCTGTACGTAAGCCTGCTTCGGCTGCTGGCGAATTTCCCCGTACCTGTTTCACGAATATCGTATCCATCGGCTCGTCTATCCTCGTTCGTTCGTGTCCTGGCAGCATCTAGCAACGAAAATTCATTCGTTATCGAAGCGAATGTGAAAACCGGCGTCGAGTAAACAAAATTACTATCTTTATCTCAAATGAATATTTACACAGCAGGACTCTGGCGGGTAAACGATGAAATGGCGAAGAGTAAAACCAAAACCATTTTCACCGCGGCGTAGCAGCAACGTTCGCGGACCTCGCGGTGGCGAATTACTGTATTGTTGAACGTTTGCTGTTGCCCCTATCGCACCAGCCACTGTTGCCCCGACACCGCCTGACCCTGTTGAAAGTGCTGATGTTGGCGGCGGCGGCGGTGGTGGTGAACCGTGTTCTATCTGAAAGAAATTCTATTCTTTCTCTTCTTCAATCTCGAGACGAACTGACTGACGACAATCGTGACGCGATCCTGTCCACATACATACAACGGATGTATGCGCCATTCTCAAAGATGGTTGTGTCACATCCTTTCATTTTTTAACGCTCGAACGCTACCATCTCTCTATAGCTTAATCCTTGCTCTCTGTCCTTTCTCCCTTTTTTTTTTTTTTGCAGTTGTGCTCCATCAACCGCCGCGGTACCGGTAGACGACAAGCAAAAAGAGCGGAAAATGAAACCAAAGAAACAGAAGAGGAGAGAAACGAACAGAACGGAAGGAGTAAGTTTCACGTCACACCGATTGCCATGGATTTTTGTAACTTTGTATATTGTGGTTGTACGAAAACCGATTTGGGAATTTGCGAGAGATGACCTACTTCTTGTACAAGTGCAATAAAATGACAATGACAGTGTGCAAATGATACACGTGCAGATAAGGAAGTCGTAAGAAAAAAAACTTGTCTAGAAAGAAAAGTATAAAAAAAAATATATATATATATATAGGGAGAGAGGAAAGAAAATGAACGATGGACGTGCTGTTAATCGAGAAATATCGAAAGTCTGAAATGAATAAATAAAATAGAGGATGTTAATCGTGAAACACTTGAAAATGGGCTCAGTGGCTTTGAACGTTTCTATTTCTCCTTCTCCTCGGACTCGCGTTACGTCTTGAAAATGCGCGTTTTCTAGCTTTGTTCACCAAAATAAACCGAATCAAAGTTTGGCACGATCGTTTGCTATTACGTACCGTGTGCGCCTGCCTAACCAACCGTTGGGAATTATTTCGGTCCTCAGCCATTGTGCCGTTTCCTGAAAAACAACCAATAACTTAGCGTAATTGTACATTCATATTACAAGTGTGTATTCTAAAGCTAGCGCGGCGAAAAACATTGCTACTTAGCACAAGTAACTGGGCAATTCGACTAATTCGATAATCGTTCGTACTCGATTCAACGTTGTAGCACAATATTTACCCAACAATTTCCCTTTACAAATCTCTCCTTTTCACATACATATCTGCTCTCGTACCACGTGTAAGAACTGTTGTATCGGTCGTAAGCTCTTTTTCAATCATACCGTATACTATAGGCATACACGATATACATATACATATATTGGAATTAATATACATACGCACGTACGCATACTACTGTGTGAGATATTGCATACGCGCGCACTCGCGCACAGGCATACTACTGCCAGTATGTAGTATGTATCATGTACAGCGAACCATTCTACTTTCTCTGTAACGCGACACACTTTCTTGATATAATTTACTCGGATCGAAATGACAATGCTAAAAAAAATTTGTTTCATTTATTTATTTATGCGACATTACTCATACTTATAAGGAAGGGAGATTCATTCGAGTAATTTGTCACGTCGATTCAACTTTGTTTACTCTTGAATCTCTTTTTAATCCGCCGGCTACAAAATGAAATCGACATTAAACTTTAAAGGAAAAAAATAACCCTGTTCCTTTCCTGACGCCGGCCGATCCAACCGAAAACCATTTTTGTCGATTCAAGAGACAAAGTAACAAATTGTACAACGTACAACAATCGAACATACTCGGTAACCTGTTTTATTTTCTCGTCTTATCCTACAGTTAAATTTTATCGTATTTAAAAATGTCGAAGACATTATCGTCGCTCCATCGGCCATCGGAAATAATTGAAAGTATCGCGTAGTTTTGTACGTAAAAGATAGAAACTTTAGAAACACTGAAATGTACATAGATATGTACGTATGTATGTATCTACGCTAGAGTCGACTAGAGTTCGCATTGCAGTAATCAACATCGGATCAAATTTTTCGTTCAAATTGGATATTTATATATTACAGCTCCTTTCATACTTTCCAAGTAAATCTTTTTCGAGTAAAGTCTACTCGGCGTGCAAAATGCTCTGCTCATTTTCAAAAATATTCTAAAACCGATTCACAGCAGTGATAAGCCCGGATCGATTCGACATTGCTTAACATTTACACCAGCTTGTGACTATGGCGATAAGCGAGCGATAAGAGACTGAGAATGTATTTCGCTGTTTTCTTCAAGTTTACACGTTATTCCAACGTATGTATTGGCGAAGCCGTATTACAGTGCATCTATGCTCATTTTTCGATGAAATTTACATACCAATTCGGCCTTCAAATGACCATATAATAATTATAACCGCGTATTTTCTCCAAAGATGCCTAACGCTCGTTTGTTCCAACTGCTGTTTCTTCTCGTTTCTTAAGAATACAATGTATGAATATAATACAAATGTCAACCAACTTTCCCTCTTTACATCAATCGAGCATCAAAAAATACGATCTTGTACTTTAATAACGTTAATTTTTACGATTTTTAAATTCTAAAATTTCATGTAAAATGAAATAACGTGACGTATCATCGTTGAAAGTAACGCGGTTGACAATAAGTATTTGAAATTGAAAAATCAAACTGCTGGGAAGCAGGAAATAAAAGATGTGCGTCAGTATAATAATTGTGCATGCGCGCACGTACGAGAGAGAGAGAGAAAAGAGGAAGAGAAATAAATGTAGCTACTACTAATACCTGTAATACATCAACCAAGTACACACCTCAAGTAGGAAATGTCGCGCATCGAGTGCTCGCTGCGCCACTGTCTCGTTACACCCTCGTTTTCCCTGATACAGGGATAAATTAATTGGGAGTATATATATACAAACGTATATATATAGAGCCCTTTAATATTTTTCTTCTCTCTTAAAAAGTTCATCCGCACCAGCTATGCGCCGACGAGTCGAAAAAAGATACTCCAGCCTATGTACCTCTTGCCATAAAGAATGCGTTGACGGCAGACAAACTTCGTTTTCCAAGACATAATCTTCTTCGTGATTAACGTTTTGTCACAATTATCGCTCATATCGACGTACTCTCAAGCGAATACACGACTCGTAAATAGACGTATGCGTATAGCGAATATACATAATTACAAATGAACGATATGCACATTGGTACGATCACTTTAGCACCGATTTTTTCTCCTCTTGCTCTTACATTTCGGAATAGACAGCCGACTGCTTTCCACAAATGCACCTCATGTCAATCGAATCGACGCTTCGATTCACTCATTCGCTATAGGTTAACAGAGACAAATTTACGTGTATAAATCATGTCCGTTGATTTTATTCTCACTTCTCGTAAAATACAGCGATACGTCGAACTATTTCAAATATTTGTCTTGATCTTGGTACGAGAGTGATAATGTCCACGACACAAAACGATACTACACAGCACAACACAGTAATATGGCGACCTAAGAGAATCGAGCACAGGGACGGTGGTAAAGTCCGCAAAGATAGTCGTTGAATCAAAAATGGAGAAGAGATAATCGTTGGAACATACTTTTTGCCACTCTTGCACAATTTGCAAGTAGTTTAATTTCGAGCTGTTGTAAAAAAAAAATATCACAATACACTATCTTCTTCTCCGCCATTATTCTAACCGTCTTCATCTACTTTTAACGTTTTCTTTCTTTCATGCTCTCTCCTCTTCTTTCCACCTCGCCATCCCATGAGCCATCCTCGCTGTCCCACCATGCAGTATCACTCACACTCTTTTACCTTCTCGATCTATCGTATCGTTTCAATCTCCTTATTTTTCTGAAGCATCTTTTCGCGACATCTACATCACAATCTACATGTTGAGACGGTAGTTGACACGGTATGATACCGATTGTTGATGACGATGCTGTCACCACAGACACCACCACAGACGAGGTGTCTGTGACGCTGTCGCGATGAAACGTAAGATCATGGTGAAATTTACGGCAAGAAAGGACGAGGAATCTGTCTGGTGATACAGAATGGATACATTATCATTGACCACTGACTAAAGATAGAACAGATTGGACATTAAATGGGATTTCGTGTCTCAGAAACTGAAATACCGACCAGAAAAGAAATGACTGGTTTTTCAACGGACTCTACGCTTGAACCATTGAGTACTGTTAACATCGAATAAGGATAAAACAGATTAGATTCGTGTCTAGTTTATTCTTGAAAAAAATCAAATTTACTAAATTGTAACTTAAAATTAGATCAAAGTTTAAAAAAATAACATTATAGACGTGATATTTTTGTAAAAATTTTATTTAATCAACGAAAAGAATCGGGGAAAAAAAATTTTTATTTCTTCTTACAACTTATGCGATGCATTTTCGTTCCGATAAAATGCACGCAGAATAATTTTAACTTTAGTAAAGACCACAACGCCAATGATACGGTAGAATTTCGCAATTACGCATTGCGATTCTCGAACATCATCGATGTTTCCTGTAATCGATCTAATCGATTTGACATTGGGATGTAACGTGAAACCGTTAGTTATAGGCGGGAACATGACAGAAAAGTCATGAGAGCAGGAAGCTCCAGAAATTATGTTTATCCAGAAATTAAATTTATCCAGAAATTGTCAAGTAGAGATTACCAGTAAGACAGTTTTTGTTTTTCAATACATTTTAAAATAGTGAGAATTACTTGAAGAAGTTGCTGCATTTATTCAAATCATAACCTAATAGATTTGTTACAGACATTTCCCACCGGGTTTCTATTTAATGGTATTTGCAATGATTTCCTGTGGGCCACGATTACATATATTGCTCCTCGCATCGAATTGTAAGTCACATCTATTTTTATCTTTCTGGTTGTTTAATTACGATTACTTGAATTATCACGAATAAAAGTAAAAATATCTAATCTAATAATTTCAAAAGTGAACCGAACGTTTATAATTAACGTTCGTCATGTTAAATCAAAAGGATGTAACTGTGGCCTAAATCGAGCCATTAATGCCAAGTAGCACGAAAATAGTTTATTTATATGTATGTTATAATTGCATCGAAACTAAAGATATAATAATTTATATTCCGAATGTATAATATAAAATCAGTGCCTGTCATATTGTTAAATGTCAAAAGTTTCTTCCTTAAAGTTAAGTTGTTTGTCAAACTATTTTCCGGTTAGATACGCCTAATTAACATGGCAGTATACAGTCGAAATGCATTAAAATTGAAAAATATTAAAATAACGTTTCACGCAAAGCCATAGATAAGTATAGAGTAGACGTGACATCTTATGGAAGTTTGCGTCGCGTAACCTGAAATACCGACATGGTAAAGAAATCATTGGTTTTTTAGTGCACTCTATGTGTAAGTCACAGACTACGTATTAAAAAGAGTTGTATATGTATTTTACGAATTCACGTTGATTTTCGCAGATAGTATACTAAAATTCTAAAGTGATTAATATTTTATTATTAATAAGTATTATTTAATACATTATATCACTACATAGAAGTGCAAATAGAAATAAATCATTGATAATTGGCATCACGATATAGATCGTCATAGGTAATAATTTTTCATTTGCTTCTACAACGATTCCACAGACACACGCAAGCGAGAATGTGAAATATGAAATAAATAACGACCATCGACAGCATATCTATCCAAAAATTCGTTTCATCGAAATCGTAACGATGTAGCACATCGATCCCTTCGGTGATGCAAGGCAACTCAGAATCAGTTGTTTCACAAGCTGGAAATGTAGAATAGAAACGATACATCGTTAGCATTAGGGGTGTGCAAGTACCCGACTATTTCGGATCGAGTTGGAAAAAGTTCAAGAGGGACATATCCAACTGTCTCCCAATATTATCCAATGTATTTCGCATTAATAAATATACATCTGAAATTAACTTAGGAGCACTTAAACTAGGATTCACTTTTATTTTTCTTAGAATAATGCGTTTGTCTCGGTCGTTAAGTTTTCGTCGGCCGACCTTTCTGAGGAATTGATTCAATTCGTGCTAGAAATATAGACATTAGTTGGTGGAAATGCAATACGATATGCCAGATTCCCACTATTGCCTTTAGCTGCAAAAAAATTTCTCGCTCTACCTGTTTACTCAAACTACGAGTAAAAGACTATTTTTCTTATCCGAATATATAATAATACCAACTCGAGCGAAATTAATATCACAAAATGTTGAGCAATGTTGTATCTTTTTTACATTATCATTTAGAGTAAATATTATTACATTTGAACAAAAAAAAAATATATGTATATTAAATATTATGAATAATTGATTTCGATAACGCATTATAATCCCTATCATATCCCATTTGAACTTTTTCCAACTCGATCCGAAATAGACGAACTACCGGAAATTGTCGGGCTACTCGAAATCATCGGGTTACCCGAAATCTTCGGGGTACCCGCCCGAGCCGGCCCGACTTTGTGTAAGCCAAAACAGAACAGTTGGGCACTCCCCCCCCCCCCACACACACCTCCCCCTCAAATATATATTAGCAAATTGAAACTTACATATATTATGCACACCGTTCCACTGTAGAATGCTAAGTGCTTCACTAGAGTGCAGTAGCCAGGAAATGTATTTTACCCATCGAACGTATACCGGCAACGATCTGAAATGTGCAAGTGAAATTGTTAGTTTCGATTTGAATTTTGAATTCATTTCTGTTTCACCAGGACAGATATACGCACTTCATATACGCAACAACACACACGCACGCTCTCTCCTTCTCTTACCACCTTAATATAAAATCATCACTAGAATCTAGAATGTAGAATATAAACCATAACATTTCAAGTACCCTAGTTTGAGAAAAGGACCCATAGTGATCATGAGAATATAGTCGAATGGTATCAGGTATGCCATCGCCAACGGTACGCTCTCAAATGCCGTGGAAAAGAAACATCCTGAAATGTATTATCGTTACTGCCGCTTAAATCTTTTTTTTTCAAATTAACTTTATTATGCAAACGAATTGTTTTACCGCACGCAGTCGATACGTTTATAGTAAGTAGAAGTACGAGCAATGTGAGTCCAAAAGTCTCGGCGTCGTCTCGTAATCCAGCTAACCAATATACAATCGTTGCAAACAATATCGGCTCTATTATTAAACCAGGTATCTGTGCGACCGATGCGTTAGATTTATTTAGTGAGATCGTGTCTCCTTCAACGTTAAATCAATGGAAAAATGAGTGACGATTTTTTTACTTGCCAAAGAGAGTATACGCGCGGTGTAGTACAAATGAACCGGATACATTCCAGCTCGGTACTCCCTTCGAAGGAGCGGTAACTCCTGCGGTATCAAAGCTAATGTAGCGTACATTGGGAAAAACGCGTTTTCAGAAACCAAGATAAAAAGGACACCTTGCGTAGCTTGAATTCCAAGTTGGTCGAAATTTACAGCACCCACGAAACACAAGCCGGCAATTGCCGCGACACTCTGTTCGACAATTTGTTGTCTTAGCATTAGTCGTTTACTTTTTCGCATGATAATAATAATAATAATAATAATAATAATAATGATAGTAATGTATCGTACAATCTATGACAAAGCCATGTATCGTACATTGTACATTGCAAATTTCATCATTTTCTTATATGCCATTCGATATTGCAGACTATACGTATGATCAAATTTCATCACTATCATTTGCACGTGCATTATTTACTTACCACTTTTTGAAGTATTCGAATTATTTGTATCGATGGATCTCTCGAAACTTGCAAGAAATCTCGATAAATCAACCAGTAAAGTCGTGAACAGTATCGTGCTTCTTTTGTTCTACGTTAAATAGTTGGTGGTGTACATATATATATGTGTATACTTGTATGAACACACACATAATACATCCATACATACATGTGACAACAGATAAACGAGCCGTTCGTGTTTACTCAAATTAATTTTAGTTGGATCAACTCTACGAAACAAACAATGAAAAGGAAACGAATCGAATGCTTGATACCTGTAGGTATCTAATTTCTTTCAAAGAGAAATTTAATAATAAACGTCGTAGGATATATTACTACAGGAGTAGTATTATACTACACATCTAACGACACGCAAAAGCATAAAATGGCGTAGTAATAGTCCAAGAGTGGATGGACTTAATCACTTTATCGTCTGAACGGCTCGAATATGTATCGTGCGTACGATATGAATATATTATGACCAATAACGTTAAACAGCAACAAGTAGCGGCAACAAGTTGCTTGAAATTTTTGCAAATACTCACGTGATCAATTTAGCATCGAAAAGTAATTTCGATCTATGCTGGAAATAAAAAGGACATTTCGATTATTACCTACGTACCTACATAGACAAAGGTTAAACGTACTGCAGGGAAAGGAAGATCTTTTTTTTTTTTGCTCGCACCCACCGATTCTATCTGTTTCTCTAAAATGCGATCGATCTCGTTAGAAATTTTACTAGTTGAGAAAACGTCGCATATGTTGTGAGCCACTTCCTCGCCGTTCTCATTCTTCGAGCCTGTGGCGACAATCGCTACCAAAAAGTCGGCGGGATTATATTTTCGTGGACACTCGTATCCTTGGCTGCAAAACAAACAACAATTTGTCTTTTAATGGAAAAAAATATCATCTTGCAAGGGCGTGGCAAGGGAGTACCTTGCAAAAAATTCCACTGCTTGATCGATTCGACCTGCAAATGCAACCCGACCTTCGGCAATTAGTATTATTCGATCGAACGAACTGAATATAACGGAACTCGGTTGATGTATGGTACACAACACTGTTCGTCCTTTCGCTGCAAACGATTTCAGTTGAGCGATCAGACAATTGGCCGAGTGGGAGTCTTGTCCAGTTGTTGGCTCGTCCAAGAATAATATTTTCGGATCTGTTAACAACTGAATAAAATCTCTCAATAGGTTGCGTCGCGTCGCGTCGCGTCGTCAAAGAATTATAGACGACCATAATTGACAACGACGGAAAACAGAAGGAAAAGGCAAGAACAGGAGCGGCAGAAACAAGAACGAAGAACAAGTAATTAGCGAAAGGTCTGAAAGTGAGACAACAAGATCAAATATTATCTATATCTATAAATAAGTAGTATCTATGTAAAGAGAAATGATGGCTGGATGGATCATACTTCCGTGGCAAAGGACAACCTCTTTCTTTCACCGCCAGATAGTACTTTGTCGTCGATGCCACTACCAATTCGTACATCGCGTCTACTCGTTAAACCAACATCTTTCAATAAATCGTCGATTTTCCTTCCAATGTCCAACACTCGCATATTTCCGTTTAGTTTCATTCGGGCCTGCATCGACAAGCGAAACACAAAAGCGAAAAGTGAGAGAAAAAAAAGAAAATCACTTGCAACACTTGCACGTGTACATACATACGCGTGCGACTCACATTTGAATTTTAGCATTTAGCTGGTTCTTACCATGAACCAAAGATGTTCGACCACTGTCATCGCCGCAACAAATATATCCTCTTGGTGCATGTAACCGCTATTCTGCATCATGTAAGAAGAATCGACCGGCATCCCGTTTACCCGTATATCGCCGTGAATTAAAAATTCCGCTACAAAGAATCGAGAACCAATGTCCAAAAAGTAAGTGTAAAAAATTGTGTCTGCGTGGCGAGGAAACAGGGGAGGGAAGAAATACTTACATCCGGCGCGGAAAGCCAGCGCTGCCATCAATGAACTTTTACCGGCACCGCTGGATCGAAACAAAAAAGTTTCGTAAAACGAGGAAGAAAAATAGATAGAGATTTGTAAACCGTGTTCAATTCAAGACGGGAATGTTAAAATATTTTTTTTAATGAAACATTACCTCGCACCAATTATTGCTGTCAAGTCGCCGGGTTTTGCCGCACCTTTCACTGAAATCGAAAAATCGCGAACCGTCGGTTTCAATTATCGAGTGATGATCTTTCGCGAGAGCGTCACAATTTACACACCGTTGTTAATTAGTTGCTTGCATATGTTTCTTCGTCCACGATCCATCGCGTACACAGAAAGATTTCTCCAGGAGAGTGTCACATCCCCCAAACGAACCGCACCCTCTTCTGCAGGCTGCTCATCTTTCAAAACGGACATTGCGACCGATCGTGCATAGAAATCGATCTTTTACCCTTAATTATCTTTCACCAATTACACTAGGTTTCACTAGGTTCAATAAAGTAATCGAACCAAGTAATCGAACAGCCGATTGAACCGAATTACTCCAGAGACAAGATTGTTACTGAACGCTACGTTACTGTGCGACAGCTCCTCTTGGTTTCCCACTCAACTGAAGGGAACTTTGAAGCGGATATATGTGTACCTATACATGTAACATGTATGTATATATATATATATATATATATATATATATATATATATATATCATATTGTATATCTGTAATCCATATGATCTTTCTATCATTCTTACTCACAACTGCAAGATATTTATTTAATTAACGTGCGTATGCTACAACACACTACGTATCTATTACAAAATTTGCGGTCATCATTGTGCTCTCGTTATTTCAATAACGGAACGAAGAATGCGATCATTCTGCGATCATCGAATGAAAGAAGAGTTTCTTAAATTGAGCATTATTCCGTGACAAAAAATAGACGAGAAATGCACTTTACCTACTAAATTATCAATTGCGAACAAACATATACGACGCGTAGAATGAAAAGAAAGTAACTGTAAAGAGAAATGAGAGGAAATCTGATTAGATCGTATTATATTATATAGTAATCGAAGACGGAAACCTTATACGAGTCTTGTACAAGTCGTAAGAATTCCTCGTTCCACGATACCTTTTCACGGCAGTGCCTTTTATGCATGCATATATGCATGTATGCACGTGTCTATGCATATAGGTGTCTACGAGGCGAAATAAAGCCTAATTAAGTGTGAGTTTTCGTTATGCAGTATCACAATCGTTGCTTGTAATTCAGTCAAATCAAAAGGCAGAACGTTCCAATAAATTAGAGATGATTAAATTTTCAATCGAACGACAACAGAAATGTCGCGGCAGAGATTTCAAACTTTACGATTTAATGCAAAATATACTCGACCATATTCGTATATGCTCAGACGTTTATTATATCGTCGAACGAACATGTGTATTGCTATGCGCCATGTCCGGTCATTGCTACTTCTTTTCTACGTACACACAGTCGCACGGTGTAAATAACAACCGGTTTGTTAACCGATATTCGAGTTTTTCACCCGAGAGGGTGGTCAACTATGGTGTGCCTGTTTCTTACCATCTACCGTTTGTCACCCGCAAAATTTAACAGGAAATGCCGAGTAGGTAGATACTTGCGTGTAGGAAGCGTATATACTTGCATATACGCTATATCGGTCTAGTTCGAGTTCGAGTTACCAATCCAATCTCGCGTTATTTCTTGCTCTTTTCCTTTTTCCCTCTCTTATCGACGTATCAGATATTAAAGTCAGTAAAAATACTTGTTTATTTTATAGAAATTTTCTTTGATTTTCATGCGAGGTTCTCACACATAGGTAAAAAATAAAAATATAAATATACGTGTACATATATTGTATGTATCTGTATAAATATATTGTACATGTACATAGGAGGTACGTGTAATATACAAAACAACCCCGTGTATATGTGTGTGTGTATGCGTGTATGTAATAATTTACATATAGTTTGATATCAATCGAAACTGAATTGCGTAAAATAGTTCAAACTATTTAAAAAAAAACAAGAAGATACAGATAACAAGAAAATGCAAAAGACGTACAAAATAAATAGCGTCGCAAGACGAGAAACACCTGCCCGTTGAAAAACGGCACCATTTGTGCGAGGTTGTGTCTTGATACAGCAACAGCAACAGCAACAGCAACAGCAGCTGTGAGAAAATATTTAGAAATACGCTCGATCTGTCGTATTTATTTTCCCTCGTTTCTATCTTTGCTTGGCATTTGTCCACGTCTTTGACAGTAAAGCCAGAAATGCCAAAAAACGGAATGCGATAATTAAGGAGAATAGACAGACAATATCGGTCCAGAAGTGTTCCTAAAAAAAATGGAAAACAAGTTCAAGTAAAGGCGAATATATTGACAGACGCGAAGGGACAAGTGTACAGAGCAAGATAACGAACAACACAACGAACGGTGGGTGGGTACCTGTTTAAAGTTGAACGTTTGCAAAACCATTCGACCAGATTTAGGACAAGTTGCGTTACTTCTCGTGCATTCTATAGACTCTACTTCGGACCACTGATTAATAAGGAGAGCCTCGTTGCCGTAACGAAACCACGATAAATAAGAGAACCATTCAAAGTAAACTGGAACGGATCTAAAAGATGTCACACGTCAGCTTTGAGCTTACATAGCTACGTACGTTACATGCATACATATGTGCATATAATATTGAAAATTGAAAGATGCGTGACGCGTGTATGATACATATTCAGTGTGTCGATATTTATTAGATTCGATTGAAGAAAGAGTTCATTCTTCTTACGCTGTATTTAGAAAGAATCCCCCAAACAGCAAGAATGGTATTATTACCGGTGGCCCGATGGACAACGCCATAGACAAATTGCTGCTGACGCAGGATATTAAGTAGCCTGGAAAATATACTTACTTTTAGAAAATAACTAGACAGACAACCAGATGTGCATATATTTACTGCATATATTTACAACCACGTGTGGAGAAAAACAAAACGTACCGAAAGACGTGGAAACGTTTGCGACAAGCGCAACGATACCAGCGGTAATGAAAAAGTGATCGATCCCCGGATACAAGCCAATCATGGGATATGCGATGACAGTGAAAAGAAGCGGGACCGCGATGAAGATGGGCGCCTCTGCGAGTGTCTTGCATAAAAAGTACACGTCGGTGCGATACATACCGTTTCGATGTTCTCGCAAAAATATCGGCAATTCCGTGCAGAAAACCTGTAGTCGACAGTACAAAGTGAACAATACGACTTTCTTTTTCTTCAGTTCTGACGCTTACATAGCACATACGTCAAGTTAGATACAAATAAGTAAGTAAATTTTACATTGATCACGGCAAAAACGTTCTGGAAGGTCATGTTGGTGAGAAATATGAACAAAGCACCATTGATGTTCATTACGCCGTCCTGGTCTAACCGCTGATTGAAATAAACGATTCCAACCAGTAAAGATACCATCTGAAAGAAACGATATATATATATATATACATGTAACACGTTCGAAGATGAACCTAAATCGTTCCTACTTTTTGTCAACTCAACGAGTCCAATTCAGTTTACGTATACGATTATTAGTTGAAACGCGGTACACATCGATATTTTTGTTGGAATAATCGACACTTACGACCGTCTGTAATAGACGAACTTTAATGAGGATCGGTTCCTTGATAACCGATAACCAAGAACGCCATAAAACTGCACGAAATTGTTCGCACCAACTTGCTTTGTACAGCGATCGATTCTTCGAGTACTTTGAGTCTCGCAGAGAATCCTCGAATTCACCGTTTATCGCCTCTGCTTCCAACGCAATCTTAATGCCGTGTTCGCTCTTTTGGAAGGCGTCGCACACGGTGTTTATCGCATGACGGCAAGATATCTCTTCGCCCGGCACGACCGCTAACATTTGAACAAAGTAATCCGCCGGGTTATAATTGCTAGGGCAAGCGGCACCAAGTCTAGAAATAGAAATAGAAATAGAAATAGAAATGGAGATGGAGATGGAGATGGAGATGGAATCATTTCGCTGCTTTGAAAAATAATAATCCCGGCGATGGCAGGACGGTGGGAAAAATGTAGAAAACTTTTTAAATGGCGACGCCAGACTCCACGATCAACACATATGTGTGTATATTATTAGCGTACGAGTACGCTCATCTATACGTACCATATACGTATGCGTCTCTCGGTTACTTACGTCTCGAAGAAGCTGCACGCCTGCGACGTTGTGCCCATGAACGCCACTCGTCCCTCGGCCATCAATAAAATTCTATCGAAGAGGGCGAACAGTTCCGACGAGGGTTGGTGCAGAGTGGCGACGATAGTCTTGCCACGCGCTACGAGAACCTTTCTCAAACACATACTCTCCAACGAAACGTACGACGAAATTTATCCAACCGCACGAAATTACTTACCAGCCAAAGTTTTCAACACGGAAACCACTTGATGCGCCATGAAAGAATCGAGGCCTGACGTTGGCTCGTCGCAGAACATCAACGGCGGATCTGTAAGAACTTCTGACGCGAATGACAGCCTTTTCATTTCACCTCCGGAAAGACCTTTGATCCTACCTGGCTGGCCGATTACCGTGTTTCTGCATTTACTCAGAGCAAGCTGAAAACCAAAAGGAACGACTGTCTTCTTGTCATCAAGATACAAACTATGTTGTATTAACGGTTGCAAACATACCGACATGTTAACGCACATATTAACTTTTATCTAAACGGCCAATATATACTTGTGCTCGTGCTTACTATACTTGTATTTATATACAAGTATAAAAGTACTTACAGGCACTTGTAGGTACTTATTCGATATACCTCGTTAATTACTTGATGCACTCGATCAAATCTCTGCTCCATAGGTATCCTTCGATCCATGCGCACCATAGCTTGAAACAATAGATGTTCCTTGACGGTCAAAGTGCCGACGAACAGATCGTCCTGTTGCACGTACGCTGTCCTCGAGGTGAGTATCGTGGAAGATACTCTTCGTCCGTTGGCAGCCATCACGCCAGAAGCAGTTACTCCGCGGCCCGAGCGGAACGTCAGTGCGTTCAACAATGTCGTTTTCCCAGCACCCGATGATCCCATAATTACTAACAATTCACCTGGATACGCCACCCCACACACTGCAATTACATTTTCATCGACACGCTTTATCCATAATCGATAAATCCTCAATTACATTTCCATCATTATTCCCCTCGAATCCCTCCGATATACTTTTTATTCTCTATCTATCGATCTATCTATCGTTTCCACAATCGTTTGATCAAATCTTATTTACAATCGTACCGTCCTTCAACAGGTGTCTCCTTTCCGTCGGTTTCCTCCTCTTTGAAAACATCTCCCATGGTTTCTCGTTCATTCTGTCGGCGTACACGTTCAAGTCGCTCCACGTATACGTAATTGATTCGTTTTCGGTAGAACGAGGTGGTATCGTTAACGTTGCCGGCGGCGCTACCACTGCGTACGAACCATGTAAAATGGATTTTAATTTGAAGGAGGATGCATCCTCCTCGGAACCTGCTCTACACGATACTCCGGTTCTTTCATCACTTCTTCCTTCCTACGATCAAACGGGAGAACATGATTTGCACGAGTATACGACGCGCAGAAGCTCATTTCCTTATCTCTGTCTCTAGCTTTGTTCTTTGCATCTTGGATGCTTTCCTGCATCGTCGAGCAAGTTTCTGGAATCGAGTCGCTTCGCTTTTCAAATACAATTCGAAAATATGTGGATCATTATAATTTTCGTTCAAACGTCAAACGAAACGGAAGGCTCGGCGTATGTATATCTATTGATCACGATAGAGAAAGAAAAAAGAAAAAAAAAAAGAAAAAGACACAAAAAAAAAAGACACTTTCGGAAACGCGAGCGAATATTTCAATTTCAAGTTCGTATTACTTACCAACGAGATCGTATTGTACGAAATCGTTTGCGTTTTATCTCCGCCGCTAGCCACACTTCTCGACGAGATTAGGGGTTCAGTTTCTTCCGTAGCAGTCATATTTTCTTTCTCTTTTTTTTTCTTTTCAGTGCCGATTCAATCTTTCGATTCAGTCTTCAGTTTCATTGATGGTTTTCCTTCCTGTCACCGCACGTACCGTGCGACACAAAACTTTATGGCTTTTACGCGTTAGTGTCGTAATCGAATCACCAACGACGATCAATGTGCGCAAACAATTATGGCAGCACTTTTTGTTTAGCGTGCGATCAAATCCCAAGATCGATTAACTCTACGTAATCCTTTCCTTCGACGTCAGGCTTGGTCGTTGGACACCGGATATGCAGTTTGCTCGTCCCTTTGAAATTTTCAAGAAGAGGAACCACAAATATTCAAACGGATCGCGCCGTTTTACTGCCGTTTTACTTCCTCTTACTGCTGGTATTAAGCTTTAATTTAATTTAATAAGCGCGGCGGAATCTCAACGACGCATTTCGCGAAAAGTTATTCGATTCGACGTGTTCAACGCGGTGGGTCGCGAGAGTAGAACTTGGGCGGAAGGTAGCCGCAAACCGAGTAGGTAACATAACATTCTCGGATTGCCAGTCTCCCACCTCGCCAGTCTTCCGTCTCCATCGTCGTTGTTGTTTGTGTGCCAACTTATGTAACGTGACTCCAGTGATCCACGGGCTTACCGGCAACGCGACCAATAACGGAGTAAAAGAATCCACACGACGGCCTTGCGCACGTAATTACGTTTGACACAGAGTCATTTTTTTTTTTTTCCTCGTCGCCTTTCATCGATGAACTTGCACCGTTCGTTCTCAACTTGTTCTCTTACAATTTTCTCTTTCAACACCCTCTCTTTCGTGAATTCTCGTTTGCATTCACGTACTTGGAAAACGTACCCGGCAACTGCATCGTCCAAGGTGGGAAGTACAAACTTCACTTCAAAGATCAAACGTTACCACGCAACGTTTCCACGTTGGTGTTGCTTGGTTCCTTGCTTCTCGACTCGAAAGCAATTTAATTACACAAGACAACAAATGTTCCATAGGCTTTGACAAAGGTCGTTTCGGCCAATGAAAGAAGGAAAAGAAAGATGAAGAATAACTTCGTTTATTACAATCGATACAATAGTATTCCAGGATTCGGAAATTTCAAAGATTATGTCAGAATGTCTGCCAATCCTTTGCGAACATTCGAAAGATTGTTACAGTCGAAAGATTATAAGCCTGCTGGTAGAATGACACACAGCCATGATACTGCGACAATTTAGTCAAGCGGGCGAAACGTCTTGAAACATTCTTTTCAAGAAAACGCCTGCCCATCATCTTTTGTTTATGAGAATCCCGCGCTCGCAATGTCAACCTATGATATGTACTATATACGTATTTCTATTTTCCGTTCACTTATTATAAGTGAAGTTATAGAGGGGGAGAGGGAGAGAGAGAAAGGGGGAGGGAGGGGGGAGAGAGAGAGAGAGAGAGAGAGAGAGAGAGGACAAAGGTAAAGAGGTAAAGAGGGAGAGGGAGAGAGAGAGAGAGATTGAGATAGAGAAAGTACAGCTTATGAATGTAATTACTTACTTACAAGAATCGAATGTTTGCGCGCGCGCGGTGTGTATGAGATATTGAAAGAAAAGGTGTGAAAGAAAGACAATGATTTAAAGAATAAGACGCGACGCGCGTACACATACACGTTACAATCACATACGGCAACAAGAAAAATAGCTGCTGATTATCAACAAAGTCTATCTGATTTCCTTTTTGTGTTTCTCTTGCGTTTTTTTTTTTTTCTTTTTTTTTCTTCTTTTCTTTAGATCGAACGTGCGTGACCTTTTCGTGAAAAATCATTCGTTATGAATGAGTGAAATTTTCAACGATACAACGCGCATTCGTCGATAAGCGTGCCAATCGCATTCATTCGTTTCGTTTCATTTCATTTCACTTCATTTCGTTTTGTTTGACTGACTCGCGCGTTCACTTCCGTTCACGTTGTTTTATTGTTTTTCGACATGTTGTGAGAAGCCCAGTTTAAAGAAGTCTTCCACGAGTTACAGAGAGCTTCGTCGAATTTACTCCTAAAATGCTTTTGTGCCTCGCTTTCAGACATCTCAAGTACCTATAAGAAAAATTTACGAAAAGATTTATGAAAATGTTCGATTCGATATTCAAATTTTCCAACTTGTTTCTAAATTCAACAGAAAAGGAAGAAGAAACTGACAACATACCAAAGTATCTCTCAAATAGTTGAGATCTTTCTCTGACGATAATTCAGGTAATCCCGTTGATATCATCATGGCAAACAGTGACAATATCAGGCCTCCGTGCTGACGTAGAACGAGAAACGCTTGTTCGCAATGACTCTGAAATCGTTGAAATTCAACTGCTTGACCTTTCTTCGTTTGACCCTTGTTTATTACATGGACAAAATCATTGGTCAACACGAAGGGCACGCGTTCGCGTCTGAATCCAAATTTCTCTTTAAAATGTCCAAGTATGTGGCCAAAGTCAACGTGAAACAATTGACCGGTTTTCTTCACCATTATATTATCCGAATGTCTGTCCGCAATTCCAAGAACATACGTAGCCACGCAATAACCCGCACAGCTTAAAGTAAATTCCTCGATGGCTCTGTTCAGCGCTGCCTCCGTATGATTGTGATCTTTCAACCAAGCAAGTAAAGAGCCCCGCCTTTACAGACACAAAAATAATCGAAAGTAGTAAGAGTAAGTACAGATTGTTTGCAGACAGTAATGATAAATAATAGTTGATCACACTTTCGTTTGATTTTATACCTGAAAGCAGCAGTCGCCGAGAAAGTACCCTTTTCTTTTTGAATATTTGCAATCGTTTCGGCATTTAGGACCACTTCGATCATGCCGACCCTATTTTCCGTTGATATGCAACCGTACGGATTCATACGTAAATCCAAACCTTCCCTCTTCCACAGTTTATCCATGATTCGCAACATCTGCAGCGTAAGCATGTCTTGTCTCAAATCATCCCCGTGTTTCAATATCAAGTAAATATCATCGCCGAACGGATCAGCATTTTCAAAAACTAACCAAAGTGGTCGCATTTTACTGTCCATTACTCTACATTTCTCGATTCTGTAAAGAAAGTTTTTGTAAGAAACACATACTTTTTGTTTTTTCGAAGAAAATTCAAGTTTCTCTGCAACATCTTAACGCAAACTCATGCTCACTTGATCCGTTTCCATCGAAAGCTTGGATCCAATGGGTTCAAAACGTTTGACAACGCATCTTGACAATGAGGTTCTTGAATAAATTCTTGAAAACCTTGCAACGCGGCTTTCCGATCTTTTCGCTGTTTTATTTGTTCGGAAGCCGACTTCAATTTGCCCAAACATTCCATTTGTTTGAACAGCGATCGCATGTGCTGTTGACTTCCCCTACAATACGCTTCTAATATTAAGCCAAAACGAACCGATACAGCACCCACTTGCATCTCCGATCTAGCCACACATAAAACCATTCACAAAAGGAATTAAATATATTTTGCATAGAAATATACGTCAAATGATACGTACAAATGATATTACGTGAAAAATTATGCTACACATGTTACACGCGCCACATTAAAACGAACGTTTTTTCAATAAACGAATGCAAACGGAAAATGTAATACCAACCTAAGATGCCAGAATAAGAAATGACCAATCCTTCGATTATTAAGGGCGCGTCTCAGCAAGAACTCCGTCAAATCACAAGATAAATAATTTTCGTGTTTCAGCGCTTGTACCAACTGCAATAGATAAAGGCTCAAATCTTCGTCGCTGACATCCATTAAACAACGCACAGCAAAACTTCGAACATTTTGATCAGCGTAAGCATAATCCAACAATTCAAGTGCCTTTTCGACGGGTAATTTGGGCCACTGTTGCACTAGCGCCGTAGCTTCAGCTACTTCCCTGTATACGTCGAGAATCGGAAAGTAGATTTAAACGTTCTCTTTTTCTATGAAAATGGACGATGTTAAAATAACTCCTATCATTTGGTACTTCGAATATTTTGATTTTCACCTATGATCATTCCATTCCACGCAGTGCAACAACTTGGCCAACAACGTCGGTATTTCAAGGAGACAGTGATGCCTTAACGTCCACATTATCTTTCGCTCTTGCTCGTGAAGCTCGTGCAATGGATCTCTGTCTGCCAACAATCGAAGTTGTTCAAGTTGCTGGAGTTTACCGACGTCAGACTCTTTGTCAGGCTCTTCTTGAATCGACCGTTCAGCAGATGATTCTCGCAGCTTTCTCGCATACTCCACCATTTTCTCCGGCGTTGGATAAAGGACAGACTTGTCCTTTCCATAACTGAAAAGTGAAAACACACGATCACGCACACCATGTACATTTCATGACGAACATGATAAATGTTCGTGAGAGCAACGTGACAAGGAAACACACTTACTTTGGAAATGTCAACATCAAAGCAGCCGCTCTGTCTATGTGAGGATTCGACACTACCGTACCGAGAGGATGTAGAAGATCGTCGTTCTGCATATCCTCGGCGTACGTCCACGTGTAAAGCGTCATCGCTCCCGTTTTCAGTTGAGACTTGAAGTCGTATATGGTCGTGTTGGCCCAGCATAACGGATTTATAAAAAACTCTTGTTTGGTATCTTTAACTAATCTACGACTTTTCAGTCCTTTTGCAGTCTTGCTAATTTCATATAGAACGAAACACAGCCTGGCCATTCGCGGTATATCTCGCACCTTTATATCAAACCTTAACGGCTCTTCCCACTCGCAGCTACCATCCGAACTGACGATAGTTTCTTTAGTCTTCTGGCTTTCGCACAGTGACTTTCCACCATGAAAGAGACCAGCTTGAAGGCCAATCTGTGTAAACGAGAGAGAGAGAGAGAGAGAGAGAGAGAACAAAAAAAGAAAAACGTTAAAAAAGAAATGGAAATTGCCCAAATCCGTCTCGAAAGACGAATCACGTTTAACGATTACCAAATGCAACACGATTTATACCTCAACGGTGCGATGAGCTGCATCGCAATTCAATCGCGATATCGCGTTCACAGTAAAAACGAATGGTTCCTCGATTTTCCAAGCAGATATATGTTTACCCTTCTTGCGGAGGGTTAGCGTAGAAAAAGAAGGCCTTGTACGTTGCAAAGTGTCTGGCTCTACGTTCTCCGCCGTATTTTCTTGATCGACAGAGACGCTATCTCTGCTTAGAGTAACCAATGTAGGAATAATATCTTTCGCTAGGCAATCTTGAATGTAACTAAACTGTATCAAAGGATAGTCTCCTATTAAATACTCCTCCTGGCCGCAAACCTTCAGAGTAAAGTCATTCGGATGTCCCTTCGACATTAAAGTGTTTGCTCGCTTATTTAAAATAGATACCAGTAGCTGATATGGCGTCGTAGTGTGTGATATTTGAAACGTGAAAGCCGTCTGAAACGAAATTGCGATTACACGATTACACGAGAGAATTATATACGCGTGTCTTTTGGAAGGATGAAATAACTTTTCATTCGGTCACGCTTGATCCTTTCGAATGCCCCGCCATTTGTTTCCCGCCTTTCGGCGTGCCGAAACGCACGACGCTACGGAAGTAGACGTACAAGTAGACAGGAAGTGTGACGAAACAAGAGCCAGAGAAATATATAAAGGGAAAGAGCGAGGCAGACGGAGACGGAGGAAGGAGAGAAACTGAAGGTGCATTAACATAGAGGCAGAGAGATTCACGCTTCTCCCATAACTGCACTCTAATTTACGAAAGGAACGCGACGATATCAAGTAAACAACGTGTGCCTGTGTGAGTGTCGAATAACGTTCGTTTCGTGGCGTGCATTAAATTCGAATGTGCAGTAGGAGACTTAACCTTAAATCATGTCGACGGGTGATTCGACGAATGAAAAGTACAATGGAGAATACATCGAAGATCCCGGATCAGAGCTCGATCAGGATCGTTCCTACAATTTATTAAAAGTTGAACACGAAAGGTGCAAACAAGAGATTTACGATTTAAAACGAAAACTTCAATTAAACGAAGCGATGCTACGTGATGTTAACGAAGCAAACGAATCACTCGAGCGTTTATTTAACCAACGAATGTCCGAGAACGAACAGCTTATGTGCCAAGTTAAAGAAAAGTAAATACATGAAATTTTCATATAGGGGACAATCGTTTGTTAACCCCTTGTCCCAGGTTTTCCTTCTGTCAGTTCTTTCGTTTTACTTTCTTCTTTCTTTCTTTCTTTCTTTCTTTCTTTCTTTCTTTCTTTCTTTCTTTCTTCGTTTCAGACATCGCACCCTCGTGAAAGAATATGAAAACACCATTTCAAATTTGGAAACAAAATCAGCCGAACAAACGAGAGAAATTGAAGAATTACGACAACGAGCAGATCAATCCGCAACGAATCAATGCATATATATCGTAAATCATCAATCCGCAGATATTTCTCTCAACACAGACGATATCTCGTTGAAGAATCGCATCGATGAACTTTTATCAATTCAGCAAGAAGAGAGAAAGAAATACGAACACGCGGAACAATCGATCGCGGAATTGAAATCTCGATGTGAACATTACGAATGTTACGTTCAAGTGAGGAGCAAGTCAATGTATCTGTCAGCGAAAATCAAATTGTTTGCACTTGATCGTAAATCATAATCTCGTCGAATAAAATGTAAAATGTAATTTATTTTTATCGATAGGGTATCAAAGAACAATTGGACGAGAAAGATCAAATTTTGGAGGAAATACGCGCAGAACTTGCTTTGAAACGTTCAGAGGTGGAATCACTTCGAACAGATCCTACCCGTGAATCGTGCAAAGGTGAGTACGAATACTAACTACGATGCAATTTCGTAACCTTTCACAAGCTATTTAATTCAGTCGTTTCTTTTTTTTTTTTTTTTTCAACACAGGCAATTCATTATTTGCTGAAGTGGAAGATCGGCGACAGAATGTAGTAAGCAAAATGAATGCGTTGCGCGAAAAATACGCGGAACTGAAACGCACATGTAAATTGCAAATTGCGGAGATCAAATCACTGAGAACACAACGTGCTGCGATACTTAGAAAATTAGAGAACGATGCACATTATACACTGACAGAAAACATGGAATTGGTTCAAAAATACAAAAATAGAATATCAGATCTTGAAAACAAATTAAAGTCTGAGATCAAGAGGAACAGAGAATTCGACTCGAATTGCAGCGATGCATCTTTTAGGTACAAAGTACTAGTTAAATTTTACGAAATTTTTCATTTAATTTGTATTCTTCTACCTATTGTTTTCTTTTCTTTCTGCTCGATTTCGAAAATTAGATACTTTCAATCCCTGCTCGACACTAAGAAAAATGAAACGGTCGAACTTCGTATAAAAGTCGAAGATCTTTGTACAAAACTTTTGCTACAGGAGGAAACAAAAATAAGTATCACCAAACAATTACACTATTGGCGTTGCAAAGCTTCCTCGTTAGAGGTAATTTTTTCAATCTTTGGTAGTTGCAGAATAACAATGATTTTGATTCATCATTTTTATATATTTCCAAAGGATCAAATTCACGCCGTGCAAGCAAAGTTAAAATTAAGTGCTGCAAATGATGCGGAACATGAGGTTTTGAGAGAGCTCAAAGATCTCACGTATAAGTGCAACATCGATGATGAAACAACGACTGATGAAAAGCAATCCGTTCCTAACCAACGATCAAAGAATTCTGTTCAACCGTCGCTAAATTATTCTTTTGAAATTAAGCATACAGATTGTTCAATCGAGAATTCGGAAAGGTGTAAAGCTCACAGACAAAGAACAGACAAAGAAAATTGTAATCACAGCAGCGGAACTACAGAACTCAAAATTATCACACCCAAAAAGTCATGCAAGTTTCTATGTAACCAAACTACTGATAAGAACGAGGACAAACTTTTGGCCAAATTTCCTCACTCTACGAAGAATGCAACTACTCAAGAGAGTAAGATTTTGCCAGGTGCCGCAGAATGTGAATATCCTGTTATTTATATACCAGCTAATCTCAATGATGAATAAAAATTTATAATGTATAAAAATTACGAACGTCTCCGGTACAAAGAAATAATTTAATTTTTATATGCATAAGCGTAATAAAAGTAATAAAGCAACTGTGGTCTTACCTCTGTATTTTCAAATTTAGTGACAAGAACAATGTTTCCATCTTTTAGTCGACATTCGATATTTTTTGGTATCGTGGCAGTTGGTGCTAATCGTGTAGGAAACTGATAACGTACTTTTTCCATCCAAGATTTCTTTTGCCTCGCCATCGCAACTTCATCCCCTAACACTCTCATTTTCCATCTAAAGTCATTCACTTCGGAATTTCTTAAAGCTGTAAACTCGTGTAATCCTTTTCCAATAAGAAGACCAATTTGAGAATCTAAATTTCTATCACTTTTAACACCTTCGCGTTCTATAACTTTGAGCACAGAACAAAATGGTTTTATGTCACATAAACGTCTAGTTTCGTCTCTCAATTCCTCTGCTTCTGCGTTAGAGTTGATGCATGAGAATACGTAGGACGGAGCATCTTTCAACGTACCGTGAAGAGGATATTTACTGGCTTCATCCCAAAGGTCCTACGTAAAAACACATATAACATTGATACAATACAAAATATACACTCTTGCTTACAAAATGCAAAGATGTCAACGTCAATCTAGTAGTGACTCTATTAAATTTCTTCACCTACCTCTTTAATTTCAGCCAAGGTGATATTGCGGTTAGTCTCTAAGGGTATAACGACCCCATTTGGCATTAAACAAGTTAGTTCAACAACTTCTGTGGGTGATTTTGCCCAGAAATTGTAAGTATATGCACTCGGTATGTGTACCATCGTGTTAAATCTTCTCGATAGGATGTGGAAAAGTTTAATAAAATATAAAGAACAACAGCTCAAATGCAATTAATTGGAGAAAAAAGCACGAAATACATCGTGCAAGTCGCATTGCGACCGAAAGTATCCTTTCTCTTTCAACCAATATGACTTCATTGAAACAAGTTTGATAACAAGTTGTGCGATGCATAAAACATATGATTAGCGTCTCTTTTCTATGGATTTTTTTTCTTCATTCTCACGTCCGTACATACAGCTTTAAATTTCATTCGAGTCTAAATTTCGCAAGATTCTGAACTCGGGTTGAATAACAAACTCACTTACTCGAATGTTTATCAGTTATATTTGAAAAGTTTAGTCTATCGACATCTACCATCTAATAATATTACTTCAATACAAAATGTAACTTTATTAGACTCGAATCACAAACGAAGCTCATACAATCGCTTCTTTCCGTGTGCGATAACACTACTAGTCAGCCATTATTTTTATAAATGCATTCTACCCACCTACTTACACGTATATTTCAGCATATACGTGTGTATCAAAGCAAAATTAGTCCCTTTTCTATTGGATTTCATTTCAATCGAATTCTATGACGCTGTTTCTTTGCTTCTCTCATAATGCTTTCAATTTATATTTCTTACTGTATACTTAATTTAATAATCTCATATCATGATGTAATATTTCTAGTCCAAATATTGATCATTGTTTAATTTCACTATGCAAAATAAAAACATAAATATATGTGATAATATGAAAATCCCTACTTGGCTTTCAAATTAAAAAAGTTCTAGATGTCGTTATTTGCTGATTCAATTTGAGAAAAAAAAAGTTTCCAAATATAAATCAATCAACGTAAAATATAATTTACTAATTACGGAACTTTTATACCTTTTATTTTGTCTACCCTGTTTGTTACTGATTTACTCGTATGAAAATTATAAATGTCGTCACTGTGTTATCGATTGACTTTCGTAGTTTATAATCTTACGACGTATATTACGCGTACGTGAGTGTTTAGTGTCAGTATTTCAGTGTCGCTAGTCAGCAATTGGTAATTGAAATAAAACGTACGAATCCCGACAAACGACGTATCGTCGTTTTTCATATTATTTCGTTCGATGAATTTTTAGATATTCACGTCGAAAATTCCGTTCGCATAACCTCTTTGTCAAGCAATCGTTTGTATCAAAACAAATTTTATAAGACGAAACATTTGGCAAGAATGTTCGTTTCATGAAATTGTAACGAACAATTTCAATCTGTTTTTAATAATTCGTCGATTAAAGTAAATTACAATTTACTCCTGACGTGTATAACGATAACTGCGATTTAGCAATATACTCTACTATCTTGAAATATTTGTTTTGAACATTTGTATTTATATTACAGGTGCCGATAAGTATTAAAAGAAAAACGGAAGCATCGCATTAAGCATGTTCGGACAATCTGGAAATACATCATTTAGTAAGTAAAATGAATTACATTTCTCTCCTTTTTTGCCTGTATGTAAATTCAGTTATGATTCAATAACCTTTGTAGGTGGTTTCAATACAGCGACACAGTCTAGTCCGTTCGGGCAATCAGCATTTGGTAAACCAATCACTACAACAAGTTTTGGTACTGGTGCCACACCAGTCTTTGGCAGTAGTAACACTTCTCTCTTCAGTTCAAAGCCTGCAGGCTCTACAACCGGTGGTTTGTTTGGCAGTACTACGACTCCACCTGCATTTACGCAACCATCTTTTGGAGGTAGGTTAGACTACATTATTCTGCTGGTTCTGCTGATTCTGTTGGTCATAATTTTGAAGCATTTATCCATGTAAACATTTATCGAGTATATATAATACCATCTTGTTTGCATGTACTTATCAATATAGTTATCTGTAGTTGTAAATATTTATCTTATTTTTTATCCTTTGTTCATTTTCAAATATAATCGATACAATCGAAGTTGCAAGAAATTCGAGTTTTATTATATCTGTATATTTCTCTAGATTAACGATACAGTTCAATTTAATCTGTGCAAAGAAAAATATTGAATAGCGAAACGTTGTTGCGATAAAATTTTCTTTTCTACAGGGTTTGGTACAACAAATACAAACACCAATTTATTTGGCAGTCAACAAAATGCAAGTACAAATATTTTTGGTACAAATACTGCAACATCGGCATTTGGTCAATCGAATAAACCAGCAGGATTTGGTTTTGGCACTACATCTGGTACAAGTCTATTTGGACAACCACAACAATCAACTCAACAAACTACTCCTTTTGGACAAAGCAGTACCACTGGAAATACAACTTTATTTGGTACAACTCCTGGTATGTTACATCAATTGTGATAAAAAGGATTTATTTCTGTTATTACCTCCCCTTTTTCCATTTTAGGTTTTGGCAATACAAACACCACAACCACTAGTATGACTGGTACTGTTATTAAATTTACCCCTGTGATCACTACCGATTCCATGTCCAAAAACGGTATATCTCATACTATATCGGCGAGGCATTGTTGTATCGCGTCAATGAAAGAGTATGAAACAAAATCTTACGAAGAGTTACGTTTCGAAGATTATTCCGTGGGACGAAAAGGTAAACACTACTGTGTAATTTAATTAAATAGAAGCGTTACATTTTTATAATAATGTTTACTTGATACACACACGCGCGCGCGCACGCCACACACACACGCACACACACACACGTATATAATATTGTAAACTTACATGTACGTGTGTGCATTAACATAACAATGCGCGATTGAGAATCGAGCGAATGATTATAATATCACAGAATGCAGAGAATGCACGATGAATGCGCGCTTAGTGCGTGGTACGATAGTGGGGATTATAACTGGGCTATTGTAACATTTAGTCTACAGATGTGTGATGTTATCGATAAACGGGAAATTTTTTGTAATTTTTTTCATGTCAAATTATGCAGGTCAATGTAACGTCATTGTTTATTTAACCAAGTGTATTCCGTTTTTTCTTTGATGCTCAGGACCCAGTACAGGAATTTTTGGTACACCAGCACAACCATTACCTTTTGGCAATACAGGGGCAGGAACTAGTACCGCGACAACAGGTAAATCATTCTAATGGAAATTAATTATTGCATATCTTTTAGATGTTATATTTCAAAATTGATTAATTCATAGCCTAATGCCTATTCTTAATATTAAATATAAATATTATTTCTATTAACATTCACATTTTAAATAAGGTTTTGGTGGGATGAGCGGCGGTTTTGGAGCAACCTCACAGTCTGGCTCAAGTGGCATATTTGGGAAACCTATAACTAGTTTTGGTACACCCTCTACAACAACAACGAATAATTTTGCTTTTAATTCTACTCCAAGCACAAATCTGTTTGGTACTAATACCCAGAATAAACCGTTTGGTAGTAAGTATCAAATTTTTTAAACGCCATTGATAATTTTGATCATCGATGGATTTAGCATCATTTTACGATCAGTATATATCGGTATGCGCAAACACGCGTATATAAATTATGTATATCCACAAAATACAATTAGTCTTGTCTACAGCAGCAGCTCCAACACCACTTTTTGCAACCAGCAATACTAACCAAAATGCTGGTACAGGTTTCGGTGGCATTAATACCGGTCAAAACACTGCTTTCGGCTCCGCATTTGGTCCAACGCAACCGAATCAGGTAATAGAAAAGAATAACATTTTCGTTATTCGTCATCGATCTTGATCGCATATTAACTTTATCATTTTTTTATAGAGTATTGGTTTATTTAATCAGAACAAATCAGCTTTTAATGCACCCTCCACCTCGTCGAGTAGTGGATTCTCCGGCTTCGGTCAAACACCATCGAGCAATACGGGTACAGCTTTATTCGGAGCTAAGACAACGACTGGTTTCGGAGCAACTCCGACTTTTGGTTCAACTACAACGTCGACTTTTGGAACTACAAGTTTCACTGCAGGTCAAAACTCTGGTACTTCGTTGTTTAATACGCCTTTTAAACCAGCGGGACAAACATCTGGATTCTCGTTTGGTTCAACTTCTACACCATCGTCCGGACTCGGTAAGTTATTTACGTGCTAGTTTTCTTATTGAAATGACATCAGTGCAGCATAATATTTCAAATTTCAAATTTCAATGGCCTATACAAGCCGTCTTTTTCGAAATATTTATCCTGCATAGTTTATGAAATAATAAACTAAATAAAAATAAAGAGGAGAACATAATAATAAGATTTAACGTTCATTCAGTCGATGTTGGATGTAAATTTATTTTTTAGGTACAAATACAGGTTTGATGTTGGGCAGTGGTTCTACTTTATTTGGCCAGCAAAAATCAGGTGGTTTCTTTGGAAATACTGGTAATAACTCAACATTCAACACATCGGGGTCGTTTGGATCTTCAACTTTTGGAACCAATGCAAATGTAGGAACGGGTATTGGAACTGGATTACTCGGAGCTGGGTATTGTATCGAATTTTCCTGACCTTTTCACGATCTCCGTTTATCAGTGATTCACGCGAAAACGTTTTTTAATTTGCTTTCTATTTCTTAATTATAGAAATACGATGAATCAAACCAAGAGTTCAGGAACGGTGCCAGTGCATCAACAAATTTTGGCCTTGGTGTCTGCTCCCTTTGGTGATTCGCCATTGTTAAAAAATCTTTTACCAGTAAGTTACCATAATATCCAATATTAATATCAACGATTGTTTAGAAATTTGTTTTAAAACCATGATTCGTAATGCTATATAATTCATAATATTATATAATTCTAGGCTTCTGGTAAAACGGAAGAGTTACTAAAACCAGCAAATGCGCCATCCAAATTGTTGAATGGTCCACAGTACAAAGTTACCGCTGATAACAAATCTCCGAAAATCAAGGCCAAGGTTGTTACTCCTGCACAATTGTCCAAGGTAAAGTGTTCGATGTAAGAAAGATGTTTATATAATTTAAGGTACATATGAACATATCGAATGTACGTGTAATGGAATTTTGTAGAAATCAATGTTCGAAGGACTCGAAGAGGAAGATCCACTCTCGGAAGCATTTCACCCTCGTCCGAATGCAAAACGTTTAGTGCTACGCCCGAAACCGATATTGAATTCAATAGTTCCATCACCTACTGAAATTTCGCAAATTGCAGGGAAAAATTTACAATCCTCCGGTAAGGGAGAAGAGAGATCGCCCGTAACAAATTCGTTCGTCGAAAATACAACTCTCGAAACTATAGATAAAGAAAATCACAGTCAAGATAATAATCGACAGTTGGCAAACGATCGAAGATCGTCTTCACCTTGGTTAAAAACAAGCCATCCACGAAACGCGACCATAAAAAATTTGGACGGAGAAGCATTTGAGGGTCAGCGTTCGTTGTTTTCTAGCCCGAACGCATTGTCAGATGAAATGTTGAACAATACCGTTACGGAATTGCGACCTTACGCTAACACCAGTCTATCAAATAAAATGTGTTCCGAAATCAATACATCTGTAGATACATCTTTAAAAAACTCGTCCGTCGGTGATAAAATTTGTACGGATACTGTAATTCAGAATTCTGACTCGAGCCAAGAATTGGACGAAAGTGGAAGTTCCTTTTCAACGTTGCAAACTTCAAATTGGAAGCCAAACGCAGCTAAAGTAATATTGAAACGCGCAGGTTACTATACAATTCCACCGCTTGATAAATTGGACGAGTACGTTTGTGGTGAAACGTGCATCGTACGAAATTTCACTGTTGGCCGCGAAGATTACGGGAACGTGTATTTTCCTGAATCGTTTGATATATATGGTCTGAATTTGGACGAAATAGTACATTTTCGACACAAAGAAGTCGTCATTTATCCGGACGACGAGAAAAAGCCACCTGTTGGAGAAGGATTAAATCGTAAAGCACAAGTTACTTTAGATCAAGTATGGCCGTATGACAAGACTCTACACAAGCCTATTACCGATCCTCGTCGACTGGCTGCGATGGATTATGAAGAGAAATTACGAAGAGTATCGGCGAAACATGATACCAGATTCTTAGAGTACCGACCTGAAACTGGTTCATGGGTTTTCAAGGTGATCTTCGAAGCAACATATATGTACTTTTATATCATTTCCAATCCCATAATATTTACTTTCCTATCGTTCTATCTTTGGTTTTTCTATATCCTTTTAGGTAGATCATTTTTCTAAATATGGCCTGAGCGATTCGGACGAAGAGGACAATAACGTTCCTGCAGGAAGCGACACGAAAAGATTAAAATTGTGCGCCGCAACTCAGCAGAAAGGCACAACCAAGCAGGAACAATCAAAAATTTCAGTAAGATCATTTTACTTCTTGATCGCGCAAACGATTACGAATTACAATGCAAATTTTTACAATTTCACGAATTTATCACTTTTAATTAGAACAAAGATACCTCCACGACCAATGATTTAAAAACAGCAAATACAGATTATACCGATCTCGATACGCGTGGCCTTCTTTCGGAAGATCATGTCTCGCGAATCGTCTCACGACGGTGGTTTAGACCAGGTGCGTGAAACTGACTCTACATTTAATTCGGTAGTAATTTCTCTCGTGTGTTTATTGCTACTGTTCTGTACAATGAATTCTCCTCCAGTAGATCAGAATCATGAGAAACAACTACCCTTGAGTCCAACTGGTGAAAATGCTCGTATTTTGGGTACTGACAGCCATAAATTACAATTAATGAAAGCCAGCTTTTTCGACGGTAGCGACGAAGAAATTAGCGAGGTTTATGATCAAGGCAAGTCCAGGATTGTATTCAGATTACATATTATTTATTCGTTTGTATCTACTTACCTTTGTATCTACCAATTTATAACTGTTCTATAACTAATCTATTTTAGAATCAAATTGTGCATTATATCTCGCCGGCCGTAAAAATTCATTGCGACATTTCATCAACACTGCGCAAAAATTAGACGAGGATCAAAACTACGAGCCAATTTATAGTCCAATGTTACGATCAAATTTGACGATTCATCGTACGCCAACGATCACTTACGAAGAACCGACACTTACAAAAACAGGTAATATCGGATTACTAACACATCCTCGGGAATAAATAATTTTACTTTAGTTTTCTACAAGCTGTAAGGAGATCAATTTGTGCCGTAGATTCCAAGTTGAATCTTCGTTCGATGAACATCGTTGCTAAGACATCAACGATATACGAAAAAGGTTTGCCAGATCCATCGATAACTTCGGTGACTACAATTCTTCGATACGTTTCTGAAGTGATTCCGTTATCAAAATCTATTATACACAAACTAGAGTCCCGTTCCATTGCTGACACTGGTAAACAAATTTCACATTTTTATTTTATTAAGAATTCATCTAGACAATGAAACTAGGTGTATGCTCTTCTATGTATTTATTTATTTAGGTATACAAATGGGAAGAATGTTTAAACCAAGCTGGGGACGTGGTTTAACGTTACTGACATTGAGTACGAAAAAGCAGGCTGACGATGTGCTGTTGAACAATTCGTTTGAACAAATCGGATCTTACGTATGTGGTCGTTCTCCAGAAGATACAACATCCGTTGCGATAGTCCAACGTATACAAATTTTGGGTAACGGCGGTAACGGAACCGGCGACGAACGCGCCAAAACGTTCAAAGTAAGTCTCGTTTCAGTTATTCAGTTTCGTGTTATTTGAAATATTTATACTTTTATACTTTTCATTGTATTTATATGTATCGTTTAAGGAAAGTGTAGAGGGACATTTAAAAATTGAATTGTCACATCGTGTGGTAAATCAAGAAGGAGACTGTTTAATTTTTGACGTAGATAAAGATATTAATAAGGCGAGCATAGCTTTACACGCACATTGTAGTTTGGCCGAAGAATTTGCGGAGCAGTTTGCCACAGATTCTTTTGCTTCGTACGTTGCCAACGTTTGGAAACTCTGCGTAGCTCTTTGGGGAACTTTGCCTGATGTAAATGTTGCCGCAGGTATGTATAGCGCGTTAATTTGCAACTTGAGCATTTAATTTTTTAAACTTTTTAAACGTATTAATTCCACCAATCTCCTTGTCATTTTAATTTGCATCTTTTCCTATCTATCTATCGTATGTATAAATCTTACTTTCTTTCTCACGTATTTTTTTCATTTTTGTATTTTTTTGCACATTTTTCATACATGTATGTATACGGAAATTACGTTGAATACGTCGATACGTACGATTCTTATATATATATATATTTTCTTGCACGATTCGTTATTTTAGAAAATCCAGACGATCATAGTGTCGTAGTCGCTCGACGAGAGGCAATTGGAGAATGGTTAAGAAACGTTATACGAAAAACGTTCGTGTGGGAGGATATGGATATCAATTATGAAACAAAATTGTTACTTTTACTATCTGGTATGTATAGTTTGTAAGAAGAAATATCTCGTTATCTTTTATAAAATTATTTTGTACAATCTGAGACATTATAACAGAGTTTTTTTTGTTCTTGTTTGATTTATTTTTATTCATCATCGATTCCAAATGATGAAAGCTTTCGAATTAGAAGAGGCATGTAAAATTGCGCGAGAAGTGGGTGATCATTGCGTGGCCTTGTTGATGGCGCAACTATGCAGCGGAATGCCTATAAAGGAATTAATAAAGGAACAAATTAAATTGTGGAAACATGCCGGCGTTGATGAAAATATTTCACTAGATCGATTAAAGCTTTTCGCACTGGTGGCGGGTGAATCATTCGTGCATAGTAAACATGGTCCAATCGATGTTTGCGAAGGTTTCGACTGGAAGAGAACGTTAGCTGTTCATTTGTGGTAAACGTCGTGTTTTTTGAAATTACACAACTTTTTTTTCTTTCAGTAAATTATTATAATGTACATACTATATTACATTTACAACTATATATATGTGTGTGTATAATATTATTATAACGTATTACTTGCGTACGTTGCAGGTATTTTTCATCTCCGACTGCCTCGGTAAGAGATACATTAGATCTTTACGAGACCTATTTTGATACAAGCAAGACATCATATATTTATACATCAATACCGAAACCCGAATACAGAGGGGATGACTTTGAACTTGAAATAAATAATGGAAAACCAATATACGATCTCTGTTTCCATCTTTTGAAGTTATTTTGTACTGGCAATCATACATTGGGAGAATTATTGAATCCAGCAACACATACCGCTGATCCGTTGGATTACAGACTCAGGTAATTTTCGATCAGTTTGTTTCCTCGGAATCATTTCAACTTTTGTTTGATTCGTAACCTATCGATAACTGAATTTGATCGTAGTTGGTTGATGCAGCAAGTACTTTTGTCTTTGGGTTATTCTCATCTTTCGGAACATGTTGCCATTTTGACACACGTTAATTTCGCGACACAATTAGAGGCGTATGGTCTTTGGCATTGGGCCATATTCGTAATGTTACATCTAAAGGATGCTGGAAAAAGGAAAACTGCGGTAATGAATTTATTACAACGTCACATCGAGATAGACGATACCGCTGATTCGATCGAGCGGGAAAAATTTTTACGGGAAGAGTTGGGTATACCCTCTACTTGGATCGATCATGCCAAAGCCGTCAAAAGTTACGTAGCCAAAAGGTTGGTATAGTTGATATTAGTTGTATATGTACTGATTGTATACACAGATAACGCTGTTTATACATCGGGTATCATTCCACGCTAATGGAAACGTGCAGAAGTTTCACACTTAATATGTCCGTATGTGTGTACTATATAAGCGATTTAAACGGAACAATTTACGATGCTAATTGCAGCCGGTAAATTTCTATGAAAACTCGTATAAAAAAATTTCAATGTCAGACTTTGAAAGAAATAGAGGAAGTTTAGTTTCCCTGTGAATTTTATAACGTATTACGTATAACGCAAGGTAGTTTCTTATTCACAGATACGGGAAAGCAGCCATTTATTTTATTCAAGCGGAACAATGGAATACAGCTCACGAAATTATTATCGAACATTTAGCAGCAGATGTTATAATAAACGATAGTTCCGGTATGTTTCCAAAGTATAAACCAATGCAATCTGATTTAGCGCGTTGATTCTTTATTCCATTTCGTTGTTTCTGTTTCTGTTCAGAGAATTACGACTACCTGCGCAATTTATTGCGTCCACTGACTCCTTTAGAATGCAGCAGCACTATAAGCGGTTGGACCTATCAAGGACAATTACTTTGGGAATATATGGAAATAACTATGAACGTGGAATCTTTGTTACGTAGTGCCGATCCACGTGGAATAAGTTCCAAACTGGAATCATTAAAACAGCGATTGTCAAGTCTTCCGCCCAAAATCAACCAATTTCCATGTCTAACTGCAAAGCATAGGTAAACTATCACACAGTTGCTTTCTTCTATTACATACATTTTGTACGCAGAGTGCAAAAGATCGACCAATCGAAATATAATCGACATTTACGTTTAAATAAATACGATTGTTCTTTATAACAGGCTTTGTCAAGCTGAAATTGCAAAGAGAACGTTACATTTAGCTAGAAGTTTGTTACAATCGAACGAGAACAAGTCTACGTCGATATACCAACTGGTGTCTCAATTACCATTGCCAGAAGATTATACGCAACAAGAGCTTCGTTTTATCGTTAATATGCACGTAAATGAAATTATATATTAGACAACGTAATTGTTTTCCATGAAAATCGATAGGCAATTATATTTATAAGCAACAGCCTTTTTTATTTCGGTCAAAATAAATATTTGTGATGATAATTTTATTTTTTATGATTTTGTAATAACAATTATAACAGTTTATGATGCAGTAACCGCGATAACGGTGATAAAGTATCGTAGTATGACTAATTACAATAGCGATAACAGAAAAATAGTTAAGATTTATAATTAACAATGAAGGATAGATATATATATATATATACATAAATATACATGTATGCTGATTTGTTACTTAAGACACCCCATATCCATAGAAATTAAGACAGTCTATATCTACATTAAACTGATTGTAAGTAAATAAAAAGTAGAGGACTAGGGAGATGACATAATTATTATTTCTAGTTGAGATATTCATACGATGCTTTTCATTGTTTGTTTAAAATGATGATTGAAATAGAAAACTAAAAAGTACGTTGTTACAATTTGAAAAATTTCTCGAATTTCGTTGTACTTTGTATTTTACAAATGTGATCAATGAAATATATATTATTATTAATAAACTATATTTTGGAATTATTTATTTTCAAATTAATACATCAATTATTTATTTACACAGGTGAGTCGTGGAAGAGGAAAGCGTTATTTTTAATTACGGGTTTACGATGTAAAAGTGAAAAGGTAAAAAGATGGAAAAATCGTTGCAGCTTTCGAAATTCTTCGGATCTAGGGAGTCGACTTTGCGTTTGAAAATATAGATAGGCGTTAAATCAATGATACTGAGTTTGCGCGTCCGGCCATTTCAACCATCTTTGTTACCATAAGAGATTGCAAATATCTCACTCTCTTCTCGCTAGCTTAAACTTGTTCGTACGTTCGGTTTCGCTCTTGGCAAGGGACAGCTCTTATTAGTGTTTGATCGATCTCTGTTTCCTTTCATCGCCTCTGTTCATTTCCATGTCTCGCAACCTTCACCACCTTCAACTTTCTCGAAAATGTCGTCAATCTAATATCTTTTTACGCCCAATCCCGTCGTTACCGCTGTTGTTGTCGCTCTCACCTAACCTCCTCATTCTAACCTCCATCGCCAACGTCGTTCTTACTACACATCACTAGCATCATTCTCGCTGGGGTGCCAATGTCACCAACAACACTACTACCATTACCATTAGCTAGTATTCGTCGGGTGTCGACATTCCTGTTTTCAGAGGTGGTTGCGAGCACGCGCTCGCACCAGTAGAATAGCGATAACTCCTAAAACGTCCGAGTTCTAACGTAGTATCGTAGTAAGAGTAATGCGCGCGCGCTAGACAACCAGCCAGCCACCTTTCGTTCCAGCATAAAGCGACTCGTACACCATCTTTGCTCGATTTCCACGAGGAAGTGTTATTAAAACGGAGTCATCGCGTGTAATATAGTCATTTTTCTCCGTGAGAAAATCTATATATACGCTGTATATGTACTTTCATATACCGTATTTTACGATACGCGCGTAACGCGTGCAAATACTTGATTTTTCTGTCATTTTTTTCCCTTTTTCCATTCTCTTTCTTCCATACCCCTTCTTTGCTTCATATCCACCCCACCGATTTCTCTCTCTCTCTCTCTCTCTCTCTCTCTCTCTCTCTCTCTCTTTCTCTCCTTCTCTCTACACTACTCCCTTGTCCCACCCTCGTCCTTCATTCTTTCGGGTTCTCTGCGCGTTACGGTGTGAACATACTTGAGAGATCGCGCGACAAGGCGGTAATCGGTGGTGCAATCGTGAATCTCACAAACGAATCGTGTCAACAGCGCATCAAACGATGCTTAATTTATTTGTGAAAAGAAAAATATACGTTCACTTCGAAAAAATACGAATATAATAAAGAAGAACACCGACTTACTGTCTGAGGGGTGATTTGACGTAGGATCGTTTTTGTCGTTTCTCCCTTGGTTGGTTAGTCGTTCGGTCCTTCGGGCGATCGGTCGATCGGGTATTGATACGCGCGTACGTCGAAGACGCTTTTATTTCTGAAATGATTCAATTGCTAGAGATGTTTGTGACATGTTTTAAAAAATGTTTACAACGGAAAACTACGCGTTGGAGGTGAATTATTACGTGTTGCTGAACTTGCATTGATTGGCTATTTCTTATGAACTTTTCTTTAGACATTGTCGTCGTCATCTTCGTCGTCGTCGCTGTCGTTCTTATTGCCATCGTCACCGTCGTCGTTTTCGTTGTCGTTGTCGTTGTCGTTGTCGTTGTCGTTGTCGTCGTTATCGTCGTCGTCGTCCTTGTCCTCGTCCTCGTCCTCGTCTTCTTCGTCGTTGTCGTTGTCGTTGTCGTTGCGTTGTGTCATCACTATCGTGCCGTTATTATCGATAGTGGCTGTTTCATCAACGACACATTTAAAAAAAACAATGATTCAATTTGGAATTCAAAGATACAGAGAATCAAAATTCGGTTGAACCATGTTAGATACACAAATACGTGCAATCGTTCGCCGCAATGAAATGTCGAAAACGTGCGTAGTGAAACGAAAGTTTTTTATGTTCGACAGTTATACGATTGGCGTAGTTTCGATCGTCAGGTGCGAAGAGCGCATTTAAAGAAGAAGAAGAAGATGAGAGAAGGTGAAGAATCATACATAGAAGCTTCTACGTACTAGCGTATATAAGCGTTACAAAGTTGTGCTCTGTATCGAATGTACATGTATACGGATAAACAAGATTCCATCGAAACGGTAAATTTACGCACGTAACGCTGACTCGCGTGTTCCGGCCGATCGATCGCTACTACGAGGGAGCGGTAAGACTAATTCTTTTCGAGAAGTTACTTCGAATTAACGTGTGCGTTTTCTTTTTTTTTTTTTTTAAAGATTGGTTCGTTCGTTTCATCATTTATTCGCATTCGGCTGCTCATCGATAGCGTTGAAATAATGTTTCTATCCGTCGAGAAATTTGTGCACTGTGGAGTGTTGTTACTGTTATGGATCAAATCAAGTTATCAGCAAGAAGAGGATATACCTCATAACGAGTAAGGATCTACAACTTGTTTTTCTTTTTCATTCTGTACACTATCGCAGTTGATATTTTAACAATGGAAAAATAAAATTCTATTTCAAAGAGGTTAATAGGTGTTATGAAATAAGCTAATGAAATAAGGCAAACATAAAATATTAGAAATGGGAGGGCGTGGGTGTTATTTACCGAAAAAGATTGGTATTTTGGGCTTCATTTAACGTGTAATGTGGAATATAATATCAATCGTTTGTAGCAGGATAATTGATTCAACTTTGAAGAAAGTTGAAAAAATTATTGGAAATCTAAACTGTAACTGTATTCTATTCTTTTCTCTTTTTCTCTGAAAAGGTCTGAAAAATATTTATGTTTTTGTCCATTGTGATGGGGAGAGGGGTAAAACATGTATTCTTTTGTATATGCGTGGGTGCGTGCTTGCGTGCGTGCATGTGTGTGTGTGTGTGAGAGAGAGAGAGTATGTCCGCATATACATACATACATTCCATTGCATCAAAAGACAAACAACATAGCACTTTCAACGATTCTCGAAGGAAGGCAACGAAAATTAGAAAGAACGCAGGCGCGTGTAGAGTTACGCGTATACAGTCGATTAAGGAGAATCAGAATCGGCGTATATGCGTACGAGCTACGTGCGTGCGCACGTGAGCATGCACTTACGTTACTTACGTATCTACGTACGAATGCATCAATGGTGCTCATTTACACGTAAAGCTGCGTGACATGCATGTAGAACATGGTGAGCAGAACACAATCGTCGATTTCGATTCAACCGATGACGTGAGACGTCAAGTAGTGTATCGGTTCCATCTTTTCAACGTTATATTTTTTCTCAAATTGAAACATAATTCAGTGAATAATAATAATAATCAAGCTTTTCCCTTATCCTATTTAAATAACACATTTATGATTTTTCGCACCTCGATATCGAACTATCAAAATTTGAACATTCATCGTTCATTCGTTTAATACCTAATATCATTGACTCTTTCGAGACTTTGGTTCTCTTTACTTCGCTATTAGTTCGAAAAGCAGACAAACGAAAGAAGAGGAGAAAGAAATATAAGAGGATATGATAATGTCAATGACAGACAACAATATATATTTATAACATTTCTTAGACATTACTACTTGGACGTTTATAGAATTAAAATCAACGTATAATAAACTTGTTTCATACAAGGTTTAAGTAATTAAGTTAAAGTATTCTTTTCGTGTTGCAGAGTGAAAAACTGGGCCTTAAAATTTGGCGTTGATTTATGGGAATTTGGCAAACAAGTTACTAAAATGAGCGAAATACAAAGGGTAAGTAAGTGCTCGTTCATTTGATCAGCAAGCACTTTCTGAAATAGCGAAATACGAAATACGTATACGTAGAATGTAATATCCGAAGAATGTAATTTAAATAATTTTGGGACGTGTATTGGATCGAAAAGTAAAATTTACGAAAATAAATGGTGGCATACTCATTTCAAAATTTCACACTTTTTACACTTTGATTTCAGAAATATCACGATATGGAAGCTCAGGTGGTGAAAAAGGATGGACTCGTCTTGGTGCGAGAAATGGCTGCTGAAGTAAAAAATATGTTGGACTTTAAAATGAACGCTGTTATGGTGAGAGAATGAGTTATCGATATAAAAAAACGAAATCACTGTACGCGTGTATCGTTGACGTACATACGTTTGCAGAGATTGGTAGAGAGTGCCGAACAGGCAGCTGTATCAGCACCCAGAGACGGAACTGTAGCACCAAAGTATTACGCTTCTCAACGTTTCGACGTTTCTTCAGTAGATGGAAAAACATTGGGAACAGGACAAGACGGCTTTCTCTCGTCCAATCGACATTTCGATCATTTAGCTGTGAACATTACTTTTTCGGCAGTTTTATTACCTGCCGGTGTAAGAGAAGTTGGTAAGTTGGTATAGGAAAATCGCCGAAAAAAGAAAACATTCGACCAAACAATCCAGTTGAAAACGATGAAATTAGCTCGGTATCCCTTTAACTTCTTTAACGAGATTTTAAATTTGTTTGCCCTTCAGATCGCGAGGTAGCTGCCGGTATTCAATGGAGCGAATACTTGGATTTATTGTTTGTTAATAACTATGAAAGCGACTCTTCGCTTTCCTGGCAATACTACGGGGCGACTTCGGGATTCTTAAGACGTTTCCCCGGTACGGATTCTGCGCAAAAATTCTTTGTTCCTTCTTCTTTTTGCTTCCTTAGAATTTGTTTCATTAAAATTTTCTCGTAATACAATAATTGTTTACTTCATCTAGCAATTTCTTGGCCACCTATCGAGGAACGAAGTTTCAGCACTGGTAAAAATGTTAATCGAGTTGTTCGAGATGTGTACGATTTTCGGATTTCCAACTGGTTCGTTGGTGCCGCAAATAGTCCGAAAGACCTGGCTATATTGCTCGATATCGAATGTTACGCCTCCGAGAGGAATAAGCGTTTGGCCGTAGCTACTGTTAAAACTATACTCGATACTCTGGGTCCCGACGATTATGTTAATGTTTATCGTTACGGAGACACCGCGGAAGAGATTGTGCAATGCTTCAAAGATAGTTTGGTTCAAGCATCACCCGAAAATATAGAAGAATTGAAAGTAACAACGAGTTCCATAAAGCACGAGGAAATGGCAACAAATATATCGGCTGCTCTTGGAACCGCGTTTGAGATTCTTCATAGATATAATAGAACAGGACAAGGAAGTCAGTGCAATCAGGCAATTATGTTAATTACTACCGACAATGCTGGCCTACCTACAGAGGTGATAAAACGTTATAACTGGCCTCACATGCCCGTTCGTATTTTTACGTATCTCATTGGTGGTGACAAAAGTCCGGAATTACGCAGCGCGGCATGTTCGAACAAAGGTAAATGCTTGCTATTCTTTTCTTCCTACAACTCTCTCTCTCTCTCTCTCTCTCTCTCTCTCTTATCTGAATTCATTATTTAAACTACAGGGTGTAGTCTGTACAGGGTAAAGTCTCTTACAATTTCAAAAATTTACTACAAAGGCAAGTGAAAGTGACAGATAAGTGGAAATTATTACAAAATGAGACGTGTATATTTAAGTTTATTTTTTTTTTTTTTTTTTTTTTGCCTCATTTAATACATCTCCGTGTGGGTGCCCTACTTATCTGTCTTTTCACTTGCCTTTGTAATAAATTTTTGAAATTGTAAAGAGACTTTATGGACACCCTGTGTACCATTTGTTTAATCGATTTAATTAATTATAGTTGATCATTGTACTGCATCTTGTACGATAATTGCATCGTGGATTATTTGTGGCTTCATTTTCTTTTATTCTGCAGGATTTTACGCGAGAATTACTGAATTGGAAGACGTTAAAAGTAAAGTTTTCGAATATATTAAAGTGCTCGCACGACCTATGGTACTATATCAACACGAACACCCGATTCACTGGAGTCCAGTTTATGTCGGCGGAAAGGTGGGCAAATTAGAGATTCTCGTTTTTATTCTCTATCTATTTCTTTCAAATCAAATATAACGTAACGCTACATTTTTGCTTCTTTCCTGCGTCTGTTGCAGAGCGGCAGATATGGCAAGGAACACATTGGTCAGCTAATGACTTCGGTCACCGCGCCTATCTTAGATCGTCGAAATTATACGGTAATATTTTTTTCAACAAAATTTGGGATTGCGTAAGATCTGATTTGATTATTTATAATTATATATATATATTTATGCTTTTCTGCTTTTTCCAATTTACGTGTCACAGACGAAAACGGCTAATTTATTGGGTATCGTCGGCACGGATGTACCTATAGAAGAGATACAAAAGTTGGTACCACCTTACAAGGTAGGAAATATTAGTTTTACGAAAATACGTATCGTTTAAGCGCAATGATTAGCAGATTATTCAGATTCATCGCAGATTATTTTATTGATTTGTAGTTGGGTGTTAACGGATATTCTTTTATCGTTGACAATAACGGCCGTGTCTTGTATCATCCGGATTTACGACCATTGGTGAGTAATGTTTTCGAGAAATGCTTCCTAGAGGGAATTAATCTAATCTCGACATAATTTTCATTGACTGTAGTCTTAACGTTGACACTGACGTGGCGCTATTTCTTTTTATTTATGCAGCCAGGGAACGTAGATGTAAGTAAATCAAACACATATCGTACAATAGAAAATGCGGAAAATTCAATTTCTTTTTCGTTCGCGACAAAAATTACATTTGCCAGTTCCAAAATTTTCTCATTTCATTACAGTACGAAGAAACATTAAAACCCACGTATATCAACGTAGATTTGTCGGAAGTCGAACTCGCCGAGTATGATGGACCATTACATCCGTTGAACAATTCCCTTCTTCTCGATGTAAGTTGTCTCTAATAATAACATCATACGCATTACATAACGTTACACACGTGTATTTTCTCCTTTTCAATTTGCGATGTGTCGTTATGCAGTTGAGGCACGATATGATTGATCAAAAAGAAGGGGAAACTAATTTTGCGATCAAAATTCATTATGACAATATGGTGAGTAAGAAGATGGTATTGTAAATTACGTTACAACGTTACACACATATTTTACATAATTTTAACATTCGAATCGACACACAATACGTTCTGATTTTGAAAATACACACACACACACGCGCGCGCGCGCGCGCGTCATATTGCAAGAGGCAGTATCGTATTGATGGTTGATACGCATTTACACAAACCAAAAATCCTATCTTTATACGTAGCGTTGTTATACCATATAACGCTCTTTTATCGTTGTGTCATTCAACGTACGTATTTTTCGTAATTTTTTTCGGTACGCGGACGCACGCATACATATGCAGAGACGGGTTACCATCAGACGTCACAATTATTTTTATAAACCAATAGAAGGAACGCCGTTTTCGTTGGGGCTGGCATTGCCCGAAGGTTACGGTATGTTTGAATTGTTGGCCGAACAAGAAATCAAACATGCGATAATAAATGGTAAGCAAATTAGCAGCAAATGAAGTGAAAGAAGTAAAATTATTTGTACGATCGGATGTTTGTGTTTCGGGTTTTTCAGTAACCGAGTATTTTAAGGGAAACAATTGGAAGGTGCATCCTGACTGGGTGTACTGCGAGTATAGTTCGGCTTCCGAAAAGTGGTTCCCGTCCCCCGAAGAACGCGTTCTGCATTTTTTGGCAAGAACGCGAAGTCCGGGGTGGAAGTGGATGTCCTTGAGACCAAGGAGTCCAAGCTCGCATCATAAACAAGCGAGCAAGCCCGACAAAGATGCTTACTATTGTAAGTTATCTATCTATCTGTGTGCAGGATGCGAGAATATTGTTATGTATATGCTTATATATATATATGTATATAACAATATTGCGTGTGCTTGCATGGTACACAAGGATAAAGTGATTAATCACCGCCATGTTTTATGATATACACAGGTGATAAAAGATTAGTGCAGTCCCTCGTGTTGGATGCGTTGGTTACCGACGGTTTCGACAAAAGAGGTGCGATGCACAAAGAAGAAAATCAAAGGTAAGTGGGTCACGTGAGCGAAACTCGCGGATGCATGTCCTCCATGCGCGGACACTTATAGTGGAAATATCGACAACGCACTGCAATGCACAAGCAAGCACGCGGTTTTTTTTCACGCACCGATTATCGAATAACATGTATTATTTGATATCGTAAAACCGCTGCCTACTCTACTGTCTTCCTTGCCCCCGCCGTTGACTCGCATAGTCGTGTTGCGAACGAAATCCACCGTTAAACGATAGTGAAAAGGGACCACGTTGAGACCACCTGCCTCAACTACTTGCAAGGAACCTCTTGTTGTGGAAAACGGAAAACGGAAAACGGAAGCAAGAGAAGGGAACGAAAAATGTCGGATGAAGGACATTGTGTTTTTCATCTGTAAGAAAGAAAAGGAAGACGCAGCGCAACGGCGTGACAGACGTGGAAGACGCGCATGAAAAATGAAAAAACGAAACGACTTTGACCATTCCTAACTGATGAATTTGTTGTAAGAATTGTTTCAGTTGTAGCTCGAGTAAGATTAGAGAAGTATCTGAAGTGCATATACATATTACATATATAGATATGCATATGTGTGTGTACATATATATATATATATATATATATATATACACACACGTATGATTGTATGTATGTATGTATGTACGTATGTATGTAACATACTGTGTATAATCGTATATTTTAGCGTTTTTCGTTAAAACGCGACATGTACTATGCGCAACGGCCAATCTTTTTCATTTACAATGCTATCTTTTATCGCATATTTTTATTACATTTTATATTGTGTGTCTCCACCGCTAGCCCTATTGCCATACTGATGGCTCTACTGCACAGGTAATCCATTATGCACAATTATTTGTATAAGCGCACTCGTCGATATATTGCACGGTGATTTTTTCCTAAATGTCGTATTAATCGTTCGTTTCACGATACCTGCGAAAACATTTTCCTAGTCGTTTCCGACATCCCATTCAGGCTATAGCATGGTACGACCTAATCATCAGAACAAAACGAAACTTTGAGGTAACGGAGGAGCTGGAGAGGATAGAGGGAGAACCCCGAGTGTGTAAAATTTTAGCTGCGAGTCTTTGTTTTACGAGTTTCTGAGATATTAAAAAAACTTTGGCTTTACGATGTATCGCGAATTTTTCTTGCACAGAGACGTTACTAATACAACTGTCTTTACTGAATTAATTAGCGTGATTGATTGATTGATGTGCTTCGTGCAACTAATGGTGCCCGCATAGAGGTGGTATTAAATGTAATTTCCACTTATCTGTCTTTTCGTTCATCGCCCTTGTAATAAATTTTTGAAATTGTAAAGACACTTTATGGACACTCTGTAGTTTTAATCCGAAAAAATTAATGCTGTGAGGCAGTCGGCCATCAATTACCTATTAAATATTAAGAGAAATTAAAAACGGTCCACAGCCGTTAATGTTGGATTTTAACATAGATAGTTGGAACACATAGAACTGGTTGACTAGAGCCTGTTGAGCCTTGTATTAATTAAAATATCTGTGTAGATAGAAAATAATTCGACGTATTGCGAAAATCAAAAATTTTTATTAATATTTCAGAAAATCCGCAGCTAAAATTTTACATTTCGAGTCCTTCCTTCCGCCTCTTGCTCTACGGCTTCAAAATTTCGTTTCATCCTGATGATTTAGTTATACCGTACTATATCCTCCTTTCGTCTTTTATATTTTCATGTTTTGTTTCGACTCTGTTTCTGTCGTAAAAAGTACTATATAAATATAAAGAAAATATCTTGAGAGCTAATTCTTTCTAAGAATATGCAGAATCGCGAAGTTGCATCGTGCAATCCACGTTCTATTTTCAAGCGTCGTTAATGGGTAATGAATAGGTATACACGTTTGATCGTATTTGAAGTCTATTCTCACGTGTACATAAATGTACGTGTAAAAAGTACGTATCATGTATCGATATCGTTACGCGTTATCGTTTCATATTCATTGTCAAATATGAGAACAACATTTTGTGCTCTTTTATACCTTCTCGCATCGTTTGATATTTCATTACGTTCCGTACAACTTTTTTCATGTTTGCAGTCAAGGAAAAGGCACATTCGGTGTAACACGGAGTTTCATCGCAACTAGAAGTGGCTTATTTCGTTGGCACGAGCATCAACAAACCGAAGAAACCATCAATGAACCGTAAATGTCAAATACCGAATTTTATTTAAATTTTCCCTGCGTATACACACGTTTACTTTTACTTTTACAGTAGAATATCTGTAACGTGAAACGTTCGAAGATAAAATTAAAACGTTAAAAGAAAAAAAAAAAAATTTAAACTTTACCGTATGTAACAATGTTCGATGCAATACGATCGAGAGAAATCTTATTGTTTATTTATATAGACCATTTGCTGGCAAGTATGCGAGAGCTATGGATTCCTCGTGGTACAAACGCGCTGTGGATCAACATTCGATAGAACCGGAGAGTTTCGTCTTCAGCGTGCCTTTTGACGCCGGTATGTATACGTACATACGTAGCCTGTAATATATGTCGAAAAAATATTTCAAAATAAAATTTCCCATCTCAAACGTTCCATTATATTATCGTATGTCTGTATCGTCGCGTCGAAATTTCCATCTTTCTTTCTTTCTTCTTCTTTTATTATTTATTGTTTCTTGTTGACTTTCGTCCACGATACGACAGTAGCAAATGTAACAAAAAAAAATTTCAACTCGTCAGCCGACAGCCGAAATCCATTGGTCACGGCCACTCACGCAGTTTTCATCGGGACAGGACACAAAGCACCGGCAGCGGTCGTAGGTTTGCAGTTTCAACATTCTTCGCTGGCCTCTCGTTTCGTCAATATTACTTCGACGGTAAATTTGTATCAATGTCGATTACATTGTGCTTTCCTATCCGGGCAATGTAAATCGAACATATGAACCGTGTCAGAGACGTATAGATTGGAGATCAAACCTGTTTTCACAAACGACTTGATAATCATTCTCTTTTCCTTTTCAGTGTAGTGGTACGAATTGCAAGAAAAATTGCGCTTCCGAAGCATTAGATTGCTACATCTTGGACAATAACGGATTCATTATAATCAGCGAACGTCACGAGCACACTGGAAAATTCTTTGGCGAAATCGACGGCACTATAATGGATTCCCTGGTTCAGGATAGAATTTATAGGTAAAAGTGTTGATGTGCAGTCAGTAGCAGTCAGAAACGAAAGAGAGAAAGTATTGGAAGTATTGGAACAATTCGTCAAAAAAAGTTGTAATTGCATTTGCAACTTTTCTGCTCGTCGATTTCAGAAAAGTAACAGTGACCGATTATCAGGGGACATGTAGCCCACAAGAATCTCATCAATCGGCCGCGCCGAGAACTTTCTCACAATCTGTCTCAACAACGATCGCTATATTGGGAAATTTCCTCTGGAGCATGGCGTTCGGCTTTAATTTTCAAAATTTGTGGCAAGTTGCTTTCGCGTTCGCTGGCGAATCCGCAAAGCCGCTCGATGGTAAGCACGCGCTTGATTTATTTCATATTCAGACAAAAGATGAAAGAAGCATTTTCCAGCTTTCCAGTTTTTCATTTCAACGTGCTGAAAAGTTGAACCTAATGAATATACGTATGTACAAACGATGTATTTTCAGAAGATTCACTCGGAGATGTTCACGAGTTTGAATCATTCGCGATACACGGGGACTCGACTGACGAACCAGAAGGAAACGAGGAAGCATTTCCAAGGCTTCCAGCAGTTGTCGCTGCAACTCCTGCTTCTACCGAGACAACGCGAGCTACATCTGCTCGCTATTCGCAGGGAAAGTTAAGATCTTGCGAGAAGAAGACGGATCTTTATATTCTGCAACCTGACAGATTGAATACCAGCGGACAAAGTAATCCGTTAAAAGGAAAGTTGACCAATTGTCACGACACTGGTTGCGAAAGGTATATATATATATATATATATATAAAAAGTACATAATTTTTCGTTTAATAAGTTCAATCCATTACATAATATCAGCTGATGAAACTCGCGAGAAAACAACTTTTGACAGACAACTTTGAGTAGACTCAACATCGTTTCGTCGCAGCATTTGAAAATGTTGTATTTCATTGTATTTTCAGGCCTTTCAGCGTACAAAAGATTCGCCATACGAATTTGATTCTACTGGTAGTGGATACATTGTGCCCATGCGGAAGTAAACAATTGAGCATCGATCCGATAGAAGCGCTGACAGAGCCTGGTGCTTGTATCGCGAGGAGAGAACGTTTGTATCGTCGTAGGCCACCGAAATGTATAAACTACCATCCAGAGGAGATGGAGATCAAATTTTGCGGTAGCGCGTGTCGTCCTTGTAATTCCTTTTTCACATTGATTGTCGCGATTATTTCAAGCACACTCGCGACGCGACTCGCGTGACTTTGTCCGAATTGATCCTACGCATGTACACGCACACACATCCACACACATGCACGGACCGACAGCCAGACGAATTGACAGATGGACAGATGGACAGACAGACGGATGAGATGGACGAACGAACAGACAGATTACTCATAAATTTAACGTTTTCAAAATGAATTTAGCGTTGCCGTTTCTATGAAACAGTTATGAAAATGGTGTACTAGTTTATCGGTTTAATATCTATATAATTGACAAATACGTGCATACGAATGAGCGAACGAGTGCGTACATATGCGCGTTCACACATGAGTGAGTGTGCGCGCGCATACCAGCGTTTGTACGTGAATGCGTATGAAAATAAGATGAATATACATACATGTGTATGTACATGTACATGCGTATATATATATATATATATATATATATATATATATATATATGTGTACATATACGCGTGTGTATGTGTATTCGAGACACATAACGAAGCCACCAAGTTATATATAGTACATACATACGTGCACGTATGCGTGTGAATATTAATTGACACGCAGTCACGTACATACTTGTATGAATATGCACTCCATGTGTACGTTACAGTCCAAACACACACGCATACACACACATACACACACACGCACGCACGCACACGTGCTCGAGCCTTTAAGGCATGCGTGCGCGTGCGCCTTACAGAGACATGTACATATCCAAATACATAATATTAATGTTGATCTATGATTACATATCCCATTATAAATTCTGTTGCGAAGAATTGTGAATATTTCCTAATCGTAATATTTCGTAATCGTATTACGTCGAATCTAAGTCAGAAAATATAAACAAATCGATAAAATCGCACACACACAAACACACACACACACACACACACACGCACGCACGCACACATGTGTATATGTATATATACACACGTTCACACATGCATATATATATACATATACATATACGCATATATATATATATATATATATATATATATATATATATATATGTATGTATGTATGTATGTATATATGTATATGTATATGTATTCGCGATGCGTGTCCAAACAATGTGGGAACGACAATATGCATAAACGTCTAGAATCTCGTAATACATAATTCGATTACAGTCGCAGCAAGAAGCACGATAGTTTCTTATCGTTTAGACGACCTTGTCATAACAAATGAAACATTCTATTTATTTATATTCCGATTTAACTAAAATAAAATGTTACCATCATTTCTGGACTTGCCGAGTATTTTCCGATATATAGATACATGTAACGTCAACTAATAATCATTCGTAAGTCAAGCATACGTACAGTGTATGACACTCAACCGAATGACACACAAGTGTGATTAATTTTCTAATTGTTAATGCTCCGAGCGCGCGTTGTTTCGTTCAAAGTAATAATAATAAGTAAAGTAACGATAGAAATTTTTATCGGAACGTTCCTATTTCACGAAGCAATTCTCGATGTTTAAAAGAATGAAAAATCGTAGTAAGAAATTCAGTGTAATTTACGTTAACGATCAATGCTTCGAGCGATACAAATGTTGGTCGTGGAAACCGCAAAATTTTGCATCGTTAAAATCTTAATGTGACTGTCAAAGATATCCTTGACTTTGCGTCGTATCGTACATACGTTACACATTGTTAGACTTTGATATTACGCTTGCATCTATTAGTAATTCATCAATTCAACATTTAGGTAATGCCGACCGATTTTTCTCTTTCTTTTTTTAACGTTGCGCGATTGTCGAAGGAAACGCGAACGAATACAATTACCGCACAATGTTCTTTCTGCAGCTTAAATACTAAATTACTCTTTATAATTTTACACGAAAGTGCAACAGATATGATATTCTGGTTGTTGAAAGCGAAGGAAAAAGACAGACAAATATACGAACAGGAATATATAAGCGCGGAAAGCGCTTGGAGCAACGATGAATCGATTAGAAAGCAAAATGTCGTAGCGGATCTTCTTTTACGTAAAACGTAACATATTTATTACGAAGAACTATCAATTTCAAATGTACGAAGGCATTAAGCGAGATTTGAAAGAGTCGTTGCGTTGACGCTCGGTGATTTGTAAGTACGTGATGATGTAAGTACCATACTTACATTCGGGGAGATACGTGCATATGCGTTTTTTACGCACATTTTGTAATGTGCGCAATTTGCAGCAAGAAGGAAGAATCACAAGTACAAATCACCGTAGGATGAAGAGAAAAGAACAGAAAATAAGATTGTGCGACATAGACACTGCGTATGTACGTATCTCTTTGCCGTACGTATGTACGTATGTACGTATGTACGTATACACGTGTCGCAGACCGAGGTAAACGGGAGCGCCGCGAGAAATTATGGTACGACAAAGAGCCTAACATATAAAACATATAAAAGACGAATCAAATTGAATTTAAAAAAAGAATATGATAATACTCTATTACGTATATCCCACTTTTGTTGCCTATGATAATTATTTAGTACATATGTTGTTTATAAACCTGCGACTAAGAGAGAAGTGTGTACCGCGCTTCGTACCGCAGCGCGTTACAATAAGCGCGAGTTACAAGTTACGAAGCTATCGAGAGGAGCGCAGGTTATTAATAACAGTACCGTGCGAAGGAAAACAATAAAATTTACGAATGTTTTAGATAAGAGATCGTCTTTTGAACAGCACTTCTAGGTGCTGCTATGTCTTCCATTATTTGTATATTGATAATAAAGTCGATTTTTAAAATAAACACACAGCGGTATGCGCAACGTGTGTGCATACACATCATATATAGGTGTACATGTGTCAAACATGTCCTTACTTGGATACATATACACCTATACGATGAATAGGGTATCGAACACTTAAAATTATGTAACTGAAATACGGCATAATATTATATAATAAAAGTTAAATGCAAGATAAATTTTTCTTTCTCGTCTCTTTAATTCCTCGTATTGCCTATGATCGAAATTCGAGTTGATCTGTTTTTGTTGCTTTATACGCTACGTGTAACAAAACTATTGAACTGTTGCAAATATATAAATATCTCGTCACGCCCTACCGTGCCGAATTAAGCAGATTTTCCACTATTAGCGATAGAAATTAAAATTCGAGGAAATATGACAAATGTTGCCACATCTGCACTAAAAAAATTACTTGCCGAATTGAACTGGTCAACTTTTTCAATTTTTAACTTTTTGTCACTATTCAACAGTGTTGAGTTGTAAATTATAAACTAATAGTTTAGAGGTATAAACATACATGTATGTTTTAGCCTATAAAAGTATAGATTATATTTATTCGTCATTGACTCCAATCAAAAATTGGAGCTATAAATTTACAATGAAAATTAATTTTGCGTAATAAATAATTAATTACGGTAGTAATTGCGTGAAATTAAACGGCATTTATGTGTTTCAGTGACTTTCTATCGAACATAAGAGTTTTTAACATCTTTATTCATACGTTTCAAAGTTTAAACGGATGGCTAGGGGGTCTTGGAAGTATATATCACTCGATTCAAAAAATTGACAAATTTTATCTTTCGATTAATTTTTACATTTTTCGCGTACGTACATATATGGAGAGTATATGCTTTGATGTGCTGGCTGGCGCCATTTTGTCGGCAATGCCCGGAAACAAAATAACTCTAAAATTATTTTTCCTGCTCCTCTTTTTTTCCCTGTTTGGGCGCAGAGTCCAAAGCTTTAGGCTTATAGAGGATTGCGAAATATTCAAAATTTATTCCTCTAAATACGCTTTTTCTTTTTTTTTTTTTTTTCGTTAATCATGGACAGTTGCTCGTTTGGTAATTAATTTTTGATTTTTTCGTTAATCTGTATCGTTTTTTACGTACGTACTTTTCGAGACCGATGCTATCGTTTACGTTTAGAAAAAGATTCGTAGCGAAATTGCATTCTCGTTGTTTACGCGTAATTAAATGGCTTTTGTCTAAATGGGGATTCCATCGACTATAGGAACATTGGAAATATTTCGTATTGGACGTTGCCGATAAAATGGCGCCACCGTACTGAAGCATATCGTACTCTCTGTCTGCGAGAGAAATGAAAAAACTAATCGAAAGGTAAAATTTGTCGACTTTTCGAGCCGAGTGATACTTCCAAGATCTCTAGCTTCGATAGTGTGTTACGTTTAAACTTCGGAATGTATAAATAAAGATTTTAAAAACTCCTATAATCGACAGAATCCCATTGACAAAAGCCATTTAATTACGCGCAAACGAGACTTCTAATTCACTAAAAATCTAGTTCCGAGTATCTGAGTAACGGATAGTGTCGGTCTTGAAATGTATACGAATACGTTTCAAATTATCCAAGCGAAAGTCGAGAATTAATTACGAGGCATAGACTTTCCGTCGTTGGAGCCATCCAAAAAAAAGTCCAAGATCCAGTGCGTCGAAAAATTATATACGCTTGTGGACGCGTATGTGCGTTTGTCAATTTTTTTTTCGATCTCACTCCGCTTGAGAGTCTTTTGTTAGTGACGATACGAGACGATACGTGTACGTTCCTTAGCTACGACGATAAAGGGAACAAAATTCAAGTCCGTTTATCTTCCGTGTGCTTCGCGAAGAGTCGTATTTTCTTTCTTTTTACTCTCCAGAGTTGTGATTGTGAATATTATCGTTGAATAATATTGTGCCGTGTATAAATCGTTGCGTTCCTTTTTATTTTTAATACCTTAAAAATGTCGAATAATCTGGAGGAATGTATTGCGAGAAACGATAATGAAATAAATAAAACTTGAAATTCGGATAAAGTCCAAGGTAATTGTGCATAAAAAGATACACCTCATCGATTTTGATGAAATTGAAATATGTTGTAAAACTTAACATTTTAAGTAACTTTTCTCGAAACATATAACCACCGTTCGGTTTTAGTTTCCGAGATATTTGAGAAAAACTGTTGCTACTACTGACCCGAATCTTATTTAAACCTAACTGTTCTACCTAGTAACTAATTTAATGGATTAGGTACGAGTTAGGCTTTTTTTATTGCGGCCGCCGCTCAAATCGAGATTTTAAGTACACCCGCTATACGCGTCCATTGCCGGCCACTTCGATGTATCTATAGAAACCATAAAGAATCGGCGACTCAACACTTACGCACACGTTGCCACAAACACGTAGCTATAGGCAATATTCATTGTAGTAGTAGCAATAGTTTTTTGCAAAAATCTCGGTTGAAAGTACGATCGAGCGGCGATTACACATGAACATTGGAAAAAGGTGTTCAAAATTTCCATCCTGATGACATATTTAAAGTTCATTAGAATCTCTGAGGTGTATCCTTTTATGCACAATTAGCAAAGCGACTGTTGTCAAGGAACTTTGCGACACTTGCATGAACATTTTTTTCGTATTGTTCGTACCAAATTTACCGCAAATATATATAAATCAACTTGTCACCTTTGCACATAGTTAAAAAATGGGAAATAATTATGAACAATCAATATTGGAAACTTACTAGGAAAAAATGGGCATATGAATAGTGTCTCCCTCATACGGAAATTATATCGTCACGTTAAATTATTTTCTGGCGGGATATTTGAATTATTATTAATTTATTTGAAATTATTATTTAATTTATCAAGATACACAAACATTTATACGCAATATTGTTTATAAACTAAAATATTTCTGAAAAATAAAAAAAGAAAAAATCTCACAGTCGATAAAGAAAAATCAATGTTACCGGTCGGTAATGGAAAAAAAAGAGAAAATAGAGCAAAGAACGAATAACGCAAAGAGAAATAACGTGAAAAAGACATAATAAAAATAGCAGAAAAAATAATGTAAAATGAAAAAACAATCTCCCAGTCGATAACGAAAAATAAATGTTCCCGGTCGGTAACGAAAAAAAAGAAGAAAATAAAAAAGG